AACCCGATCCCATCATCAGGCCCCTCTGCAATGTGGTCGTCCAGACCTGAACTGCATGCTTCGTTCCCGGAAAGAGACATCCGGACACTCTGCATGTTTGGTAGTCGCAGGAGGCAGGGTTGCTCTGCCTATAGGCCCCATACCAGTAGTAGCTCCTTTTGGGGATTACCTGAAAGGATTCTACATATGAACCCCACAAAGGAACTACTATGGCTTCCATGGGTAGGCCCTCAATCAAGCCTTCTCGTCCTCTTTCGTCGGATGTATCTTTCCGAAGCCTGGCCCTCTGGCACCCAACCTGCGACCGGTTTAGGGTTTAGGGAACTGAGCTGCATGGAGCCTCGACTCTTTTACTACAAATCGTGTGAAATTGAACATCCCTCTCAAGTTCACAGCATAGATTGACTTCCCTGCGACATCGTAGAGGAAGCCTTCGTAGGCTGGGGGCTCCAAGGCATGTGAGGAAGCCACATCATAAACAAACCGGAGCTCTAGAAGGAGGCACACCCGAAGCCTAGTATAGGGGCCGAAATAATTACCAATACTATTTTGGCGGCTCCTTATTATAACTATAGTATAATGGGCCCCAAAACCCTATTCTATTTATTCCGGCCCTTATATTAAGCCGTAAACTCCGTGATGCCGAGGCTTCGCCTGAGCAGCGCTGACCTTGGCCTGCTGCAAGTTTCGGATCTAGGGCTTGGGGCAAACTATATGCTCATGGGCTTTAGGGTTTAGGGGTTTAGAGTTTAGGATTTAGGGGTTAGGGGTTTAGGGTTTAGGGGTTTAGGTTAGGCTTTACCCAAGCCCGACACCCCTGAGCCACATACCCTTCATGATAAGACGCCTGGCTGCAGGTTGAGCAGGGTTTGCGAGTCAGGGCTCAGGGTTGAGGCATGCTGTTCTCCTTAAATTTGCACGGTTTCGGGCTCAGAGTTCAGGGTGTAGGGCTGAGACAGGTAGCAGCATCTTCCGGGTCTTGGCTTTGGGCTTTCGGATTTGGGCCATTTTCTCAAGGCTGGCGGAGTTTTGGGTGCGTGGCTTCGGCCCCATGATGCCCGCTGCGTATTCCGGGGCGGGGGCTGTGGGGGAGGGAGCGGGGAGATCGAGACTTCAGGTCTACACTAGTTGAGTGATTCGACTCTCTAGGCTCTCTGTGGCATTTACGAGCCTGCTGACCGCGACGACGACTCATGCTGTTGCTGCTGGTACTGGTACGCAGTGCAGCTGCCGCTGCTGCTTCGACTCATTAGAACTATCACTATGCTCACTATTCTTATTGCTACTACTAGTTCTACTACCACTACGTCAACAGTTGTAGCACTACTGCTTTTGCTAGAGCCAACAGGTTTAGGGAGTTTAGGGCTTCAGTGTTTCAGGCTTGGCGGTTTAACTCCAGGTTTAGGGAGAGTGTGTTGTTGCCTTAGACTAGACTTTGGAGCAGGGGTCGAACCGATTGCTCCTATCAAAATCATCTATGTCGACGCCTCCGAGGTGCATGCTCATGGTTTAGGGCTTATGGTACACGGTTTGGGGTTCAGGGGTTTACGGTTTGGGGTATGGTAGGAGTATCCAGTGTTTAAAATGGATGGTGTTAAAGCTGGCAGTGGCCCCAACGATAATGCGCACAAGCACGAAAACATGGAGGCCTTCGTTTTACCTCGACTATTTTGGGGGCTCCTTATTATTATAATTATAGTATAATATACCCCACAAACCCTATTCGAATCATTAAGGCCCCTATAATGCTGATCATGGAAGCCCCAACTTCCGAACCCTTAGCCTTCAAGACTTGAACTGCTCCCAGTCCAGCCGAAGTATACCCCGAAACCCTAGTCAGGCCCCTCTAGTAAACCCTTACAGAACACAACCCTTAGAGGATAGTAGCCCTTTAAAGGAACCCTACTCTAACTACCACGGCCCCTATCTTAGCAGTCTCAAAGAGCCCGCACCTCCACCGAGATCGTCTCGCTGGTGGTTCGAGGGGGATCCCGGGCCTTTTTTCCTGCTCTGTGCCGCGGTCTCGGCATGTTGAAGAGCCTCGGGCATGTTGAAGCTATGATAATAATAATAATAGTATTTAACCGTGACAGTACTTATAGCAAGACTGGTAATCGTAAGAACACTGATAATAATTGTACATGGAGGCGGTTCGGGGTGGCGGAATCATTTTGGAAAGCTCTTGAATATTTGAGAGGTTTCGGCTCGAGGGTTGCTGCATTCTTTGCTGAAGACAGTTTAGGTTCTAGCTTGGCTTAAGGCGTAGTCTGCCAGGGATTACAGAGAAAAACCCTGAACCTTGCTTAGGGACTTAAGTGGCATCCGGATCACAGGATTTGATTGGATGTGGTTTTCGAGTAGTAAGGTTCCAGGATGAGGTCGGGGGTTTAGGCTTTAGGGTTTGGGCGCTTCGACCCTTAGACTTCGTCTTCAGCTACCTCCGGCACGTCGGAGCTTAGATGGTTGAGGCTTATCTCCAGGGTTGAGGGAGTTAGGTGTTCAGGGTCTACAGATCTCAAGCCCCCAATTTATTGTGCTCAGCCCTGACTTCTAGAGCATTGGTGCCATACCCAACTCCATAAGACTTTGCTAAGCCTCCGGAGAGGCTTTCGAAATGTTCCCGCATTCCGCATAGCATTTCTCCATATGGCCCTGCTCATCACTGCCGATGAACCTGAGGAATGCTAGGTCGTGAAGTTCTGAAATCGATCGAATAGGTTTGAGTCTTCAAGGGCTTCGTCGCCGGATGAGCAGGTATAGAAAGCAGGTCTGTGGGTTGGGTAACTGTTGATACTCCACATGTCGTCTAGTTCCCTGGTTATCAAATCAAAGTCCTATAAGATCTTGAAGTGCTGAACCTCAATCCCGAAAGCCCCCAAACCACGCAATCCCCAAACCCGAATATTCCTAAACCCTGACCCGAAAATGTCTAAAGCCTGCCCAGCCTCGAGGCCCTTTTCTTTAGGGTTAGGGTTTGGGTCTACTCTATATATCACTCTAGCACAATGGCTTTTCAATTTCTTAAGCCCTAAACCCTAAACCCGAAACCCTAAACCAAGCCCGGAGAGTGGTGGGTTCACGGCAGGCTTAAGTTTAGGCTTCGTCAGTGACTCATTGCGCAGCAATAGTGCTGAGTTGCCCTGCATACCCTCCCCATTCATTACCTCTACGGCCCTACAGAAACCCAAAAAAGCCGATTGAACCTTCCGGATGCTTCTCGAAGAACTACCATCCATCCTACTTATAGAGCATCTGCTGAGGTCTCTGCGATAGGGATGGACGTAGCAGCCTCAACATCCACGGGCCCGCGTTTCTGGAAGTTCAGGATTCTTACTACTTTATCGGGACTGCGAACCCCTGACCCTGACATTGAGACGGTTTCGGTCCAGTTTCAGTTTGGTGGGCGGGGTTTCGGAAGTTTGGTAGCCACTCGATGGCTTCTGGGGTCACTGGGACAGCCCACCGACCGAACACACGTTGCGCCCTGAACTGCCTGGAGAAAGCCCACTGTTCAGGGTTTCGGGTTTAGAGGGCTGTTCAGTTCTTAACACAAACTTGTTGGCTTTGTGTGTTCTTTGCTGACAAGACATCCCTAAAGCCTCATTGTAGAATCCAAAACCCTGAAATCCCAAAAGGAGCCTGGGTTCGCAAGAACCCAGGCGCAAAGTTCAACCTAAGCAGAAATTTCTTAACTCACACTCCCCAAATCAAACCCTAAATCCCGAAGCCCCTAAACCACAAACCCTAAACCCTAAACTCCCTAAATCCTAAACCCTGAACCCTACGTACAGTTTTGTTTGTAAGCCTGGGCACCTAAGGCTCCTTAGGAGGCTTGACGTGGATTTTAGGGTTTAGGGGTTTAGGGGTTAGGGATGTCTTTTACCTAACAACACTATTTCGTAGGATTCCTCTCATACTTATGGTCTGATATACCCAAAGCCGCATGAAGACTCAGGCTTCAGATTAAATCCGTGTAGAACCCTTATAGTGGCCCTGAAAGGCACACTATTCTAACCATTAAAGGCCTGTACGTTACGGCGTCATGGTTGATTCCGCCTTGTAATCCTCAGGGATTCATGGCTTACGGAAGCATTCGGCTTTGGGCGTTGATGCTCCGTGGAGTTCAGGGTTTAGGAATTGGCAAATCCAGAGTTTAGGATGTAGGATTTTCCCATATCTTAAGTTCAGACTTTAGGGTTTTTTTAGAACTGTCACCTGGTGGCTATGTTGAGACTTGGTCTTTGGATTCTGGGCTCGGGATCTGAAGGAGACTGCATCCGACGGATTTGGATCAAGGTTCTGCGAGCTTCTCACATCCCAGAGCCCAAAGCACCGATCTAGACAACACCACCGTCTTAAGCTCTTGACCCTTTAAAGACCCCACAACACGCAAGCCATGAGAACTAGCTCTGGGGTATCATGAGCCGCCCATGCTACGAATCCTTTCCGTGGCTGTGACTGTGGCCGCTGCGGGCGAGCTCGAACGAGGCGAGCTTCGCCGGAGGAGCAGTAAGCTTTGTAGTGGTTCTAGGGTTTTGATTGTATGCGCCTTGATAAGCTGATAAACTAGAGAGCTTTACTTAACAGATAGGTCAGTATATGGTTTTAAATGTAGCCGCAGCCAGAATGCAATAAGCAGCTTCCCACACCCCGATCCAATCGTTTACGTCCCTTAGTCACGTCACCATAGCGCTCGAGGGGCTTTAAAAAGTTTGAATATTAAGGACACTGGGCTTACGGCTTCACCCTTCGTTGTCAAGTGCCCGCAACCGAAATCACAAAGTGGCCCTGTGGAAACCTTGCTTGGGAGTTTTGTGGCTTGGGATCCTTAGACAACCCTAAGCCCTATAAGTCCAAGATATAATGCGGCACAACATCGTATAGTATACAGTAATATAGTCTGATATTACACAACCCTAAATCCTAAGCCCTAAACCCAAGAACACTAAAACTCTAAACCCTAAAACCCTGAGCCCTAAAACCCTGAACCATTCTCGCAGGGCTCGCGGCTCTCACTGCCGCAGCCGAAGACTGTGCCTCCCGAGGAGATGCAGCAGGCCTTCCGGGTTTAACGCTAAAGCTTAGGGTTTAGGATTCTAGGGTTTAGGGCTTTGGGGTTTAGGGTTCCGGGTTCAGGATATTTAGGCTTCAGAAGACTGTGCCTCCCGAGGAGATGCAGCAGGCCTTCCGGGTTTACCGCTAAGGCTGAGGGTTTAGGATTTTAGGGTTTAGGGTTTTAGGGTTTAGGGTTCCGGGTTCAGGATTTAGGGTTCAGGGTTCAGGATTTAGGGCGTAGGGTTTAGGATTTAGGGTTTAGCGTTCAGGATTTAGGGTTTAGGATTTAGGGTTCAGCAGCTCCGGATCGAGCAGTTTTAAACTATAGAGTTGTGTTTGCGGTACAGAAATAACACCCACCCACCCTTAGGATCCCATAACAATTAAGAAAATGCACAGTTGTACATGCATTCACAGTTTGAAACTACTATCACCGAACGTTTGCACAACATTAACATCGTTGACTTCAACTAAACCAGGCTTCAAAATGTCGTTGTCGATTTTTCACAGAGAAGATGCCGTCGACGTAATCGTTTTATGAATGATTATATATATATATATATATATATATATGTATATTTAGATTTATATTTATATCAAAATCACACAGCAACTACACAACAGACACATGTTCTTCATTACCACTAAGCGAAACATTTCACAAGTTTTCGGTTAGACCATGGGTGGCTGCCCACCAACCCTAAAGCCGAAACCTTAAACCGAAACCCTAAAGCCGATCTGTTACGGCAGTGTTTGGGGTACACTTAGGAATGGATTTGTTAACCTATCGTTGGTGGCACTTACTTGGGAATGGATTTGTTAATCGATGTTTGCGCTGTTGCACCTACACTTAGGAATGGATTTGTTAACCGAGTGTTGGCGAAACTTTCTTGGGAATGGATTTGTTAACCGATACTTGCGTTGTTGCACCTACACTTACGAATGGATTCGTTAACCGATTGTCCGGGATTTGGGGGCTCAGAAGCGCCATTTCGTTAACGGGAACTTGTGGCTCAGAAGCGCCATGTTGTGACGGGGACTTGTTTCTCAGAAGCGCCCGAAATGGCCTTGGCCCTAAACCCTAAAGCCCAAACCCTAGGCCCTAAACCCTAAAGCCCAAGCCCTGGCGAAGGATTTGCCTTATTCGACGAAGTCTAAGGTTTGCCTTATTCGACGAAGTCTTTAGGGTTTTAAGTACCATTGATAGAGCGGTTTAGGGTATTATAAAGGGTTACTATACGAGTTTCTTTAAGGGTTCCCATCAGGTAAACTATAAGGCGTTGTCAGGGCTTGGAGTTTTTAAGGCTTTAAAGCTTAGGAGTTTATGGGCGTACCGGTTTCGGTCTGTTGGGGTTTTGGGTTTTGGGTTTAACCCTGCAGTTCCTAAACCCTAACCAAAACCAGCCTCATGGAAAGGTTTAGGAAAAGGTTTGCATTCTAGAGGTTGTGTGGAGCGGGGGATCTGACAAATGAGGGCACAAAGTGGAAATGCGAGACTCCTCGGCGGAAACATGTTCGCCACCACGCAATATTTCAACCGGTTTAGGGTTTGGGGGTTGCGGGTTCAGGGTTGTCAGTCGGAATCATAACCCGACAAAGGAACTACTTACAAGGAATTCTATTCCATTGATTGTCTGCTGCTTCTGGAACTCACGCTTCCGCTTGTACAGGAAACCGGCATGATAGGTTTAGGGTTCAGGGCTTAGGGTTAGAGAGGTGGCTTTGGTGGAATTTGACGTGTTTCAGCTCAAGTAGACCAAGGGGTGTAAGTTGGGTCTGCGATCTGTATAGGTTTTATGAGAGTTTCAAAGTGAAAGCAGCGGGATTTTCAGTCAAAAGACGTCGACATAAGGCGACCCTAAATTGAAGAAACGCGTTATATATATATATATATATATATAGAGGGGGCAGGGGATGAATATAGATATCTGCGACTTACTTCGGAGTGATTTCTGGCCCGGGGAGGTGAGCAGGTTTTCGGCTTGCTGAGCTGAGGATTTCGCTTTGGAGATTCTGATTTCAGAGCTTTGGACTTGGTGCTTCGGTTCCACAGAATTTTGGAGCTTCATGTCATGGTGTGCAAGTATTCTGCTGAGGGTCTTCAAAGGCTTGGGGCTTTGGCGGTTTAGGTCAATTCAGGTTTAGGGGCTAGGTGTGGGGGAGGTTTGGAATAGCCAAATGGAATGTTGGACAGGAGTTGCCTTTGCGCGCTGCATTGAGGACTGATCCGACTGTTCGCTGATGGTTTTCAGCCTTCCATGCAAAACAAGTTTGCCTGTGTCGTGTTCAGCATAGCTTGGCCTGCCGGAGACTAGGGAGCCGTCTCTAAACTTTCGCTGGACGTACCCTACGACTATCAGAGTCGCCTTGGTTGTGACAGACTGAAGAGAACGTGCGCTAGCCTGTACAGGTGCATCCTGTATTGTATGCAGGTTGTCTACAGTTTACAGAGTGATTAACCATTATGGCTCTTCTTTCTGGTGATATCTGCATGACTGCGGCTACTTGCTACTATCTGTTGGGGCTGCATCCTTAATGCTGTTGCTTGGCGTTCTGGCTTCGATTGGTAACAGGTGAATCCTTCAGCTCTTGTCAGAAATCACTTAAACTTTAATAGAATCATCCCGAAAGATGGCGAGCTGCATCCTAAACTGTAAACGGACCGACGACTTTTGAGTGCTCTTGTTTTTTGGTTGGGCCTTGTTGGCAGGATTCGGCTCCGTTCCCGAATTTCCTGCTGCCGAGACCAATGCGACTCGGCTGCACTGGCAGTAAACTTTAGGGTCAGTATTGTCATCATTGTTATTACTATTATTTGAAACGCTGCGCGTCGTCCGCCTCGGCCCGGCTGTACGCGCATGCGGCGAGTGGCTACTATCTGCAGCAAGCTCTTGTAGGACAGCGAGGGGGGAGGGGCGGGAGGATGGGAGAGGAGGGGAAGCGGGGGGGCAGGGCGGTGCATGAAACTCCTTGGTACTGCAGCCTTACAGGTGAGCCCCAATTTTTCAGGCTGGGGTTAGGGTGTAGGGTTAGGAATTCATTGAAACTCGCTTGGTACTGCAGCCTTAAAGGTGAGCCCCAACACATAAAGATGCTACATTGCAGTCCCGTGTCGTCGAAAACTCCAGAAAGCTCGCACCTGTCAGCGAGCGGAGGAGGGGCGGGAGGGAAGGGGGGAGGGGGGGGGAGGGGGGGAGGAGGAAATTCACCGCCGCCTTGGGGCTCAGTGGCGGGGGGGCAGTGGCCCCGATTTTTGGTGTGGGGTCACTGGGGAGGGGATTAAGAGGTGGGGAAGAGAGGAATCCGAATAGGAAGCTGTGACCGCTTCGGCCGAGGCGAATTCGATTCGCCTCGGCCCCTTCCCTCTCTTCCCCACCTCTCCAGTGACCCAAATCGGGGCCACTGCCCCCCCTCCCCCCCCCCCCCCCCCTCCCCCCCTCGCCCCTCCTCTGCTCGCTGACAGGTGCGAGCTTTCTGGAGTTTTCGACGACACGGGACTGCAATGTAGCATCTTTATGTGTTGGGGCTCGCCTTTAATCCAAGACGCCCACGAAATCCACAGCCTCAACGGCCCATACTTAAGGCATCCCGCCGCTTGCGAGAGTCTTGGTATCCAGTGTTTCGGAATGACGACACCAAAATTCGTACTGATACTACCACTACTAATACTACTCACAATCATCCTGCTTCGTGTTGCTATGAACATTACTTTTACTATAAGTGCGATTCCAACTGTTACTTTTTCCCTACAAGAGCTTGCTGCAGATAGTAGCCACTCGCCGCATGCGCGTACAGCCGGGCCGAGGCGGACGACGCGCAGCGTTTCAAATTACTACTACTCCTGCTACTACATCACTACTGCTGCTACTGCTATTAGCACTGCTGCTACTACTTCTGCTACTTCTACTACTCCTCCTCTTACTCGTCCTTGGCCACCACTACTGCTACTACAACTGCTACTGCTACTATAGCTGCTACTGCTACTACTACTACTACGACCACTGCTTCTACTGCTTCTACTACTACTACTACTACTACTACTACTACTACTACTACTACTACTACTACTACTACTACTACTACTACTGCTACTGCTAGTGCTACTATTACTACTACTGCTACTACTACTGCTCCTGCTGCTGCTCCTGCTGCTACTTCTATTTCTACTTTTCTTCTACTTCTGCTTCCACATCTACTTCTACTACTACCACTACTACTACTACTACTACTACTACGACGACGACTACTACTACTACTACCACTACTAGTTTCTACTACGTATAACAATTACAGTTACAATAATGAATAATGCTGACAGTAACAATGTACTGTTTATAGACATACTGTTAAGCATCATACAAATGGCACTTTCAGAGCAGGAGTAGCACGAGCGGCAGCAGTAGTTGTAGAATAGTAGTGGAGCATGCACACATATTTTTTTGTATGTAGTCTCTTGTCGGTCAGGTTTGACGAAGCATTGCGGAATGCCAGCTGTCGTCTGCCGGGGGCATCCAGCGCCATGCGACGACACAGTGTAGGCCGCAGACAGACAAGGGAATTTTGGATCGCCTGGGGAGAAGAGTTGGAGTAGGCTTCGCGATTTAATCAATTGTTTGCCAATCTCAGCGGTCTTGTTGTCGCCATGAAACATGAGGCAACAGGTTCACGGTCTAGGCTTGCTTCGGCTTGTGAGCTCGTTGGGGGCTTGGGGCGTCGAACCTGCCAGGTGTCAGCAGCGAATCCAACTGTTCGCTGGAGGACAGGAAGCTTGATGTGGAGGCATTCGCGATACCTCTCGTCTTGTTGAATTCGTAGGGCGCAGAGTTTGGTGTCGGCAGTGTTGACAAAGGTTTTACTTTGGCCCCGGGGCACTTCGATGTGTTGGGAGCTGCAGTATCAGGTTTGCCGCGTTTCGACTAAACCCTACACTGCCTACACCTCTAAACCCAAAAACCCTAAACTACAAGTCTAAGTATACTGTGCAGAAAGAACCGGCGGCCGATTTTAAGGCATTGCTAGGGGTCCGTCCTGGCACTGGTGAGAAGGACTTTCTGTGGTAGTGGCGTCCGTTGTGCAAACTACTTGCTTTTAGCAAAATGCTGTGTTACAGAGTTTCCGGGCTCGAGTGTTTGTACTTCGAGATAAGGGCCTCGGAGTTACATGTTGCTGGCATCCAATACACCCTAACATAGGTATGTTCCATTGTTATTCTGGGGTGCTGGGAACAAGGAGTACTACAGGGGCCTAAATCGTCACCAATACATTCTGGGGTTCCTTGTTATAACTCTGTGGGAGTTTTCGAAGATTGCGGGTAGCTTAATTTGGGGTCCTTAGAATGAGGATCCTACTACTTAGGGCACTATATTAGGGCCCCCGCATTTTCGGAAACTCCCATGTGGCCACAGGACAAAACAGCACAGTTCGCAGTTAAAGTGGTTGAGCGACATTTGTGGTTTGCAGGAGCAGAAAGCAGAAACATGGTAGCACTCATATCCCAAGTAGTGGTCGTAGCCCCTCATCTCCCCGGTTCCCCAGCGACATTCGCTTCACACGACAAGTTCAAGTATGACATGTCTAGTGTACCCGTGTCCGTGCACCCGATCGGTTCGCATTTTCGCAGACTGAGCCATGGCATCCAGTGCACTGAACAACCACGGAGTTGAGCTGACATCCAGGGGGGTGGCTCAGGCTGCTCAAACATTCCTTGATGGTTCGAGCGGGGAGCCCTCTCAGCCCCAGGCTCGGAGAAGAGCAACTCTAGCAGACTTGAGCCGGGAACTGCAGAGCCACGAGGACGAAGCCCAGAAGCCGGGACATCGAAAAGCCAAGGCCAAGACGGCCTTGGCTTTCTACACCTTGGCGCGCATCGCGGCTAACGTCTGCTTCCTGCTTTCTCCCGTGACTCCTGTGATTGAATATTCGGATGCAGATTATGTTCGTTACAAGAAGCATGTGGCCATTGATTCAATCCTGAGGCCTTTGATCACGGGCCTGGGCCTCTTTGCTTTTCTCTACAGGGAGGATCGCTTCTCCGTGAAAAACCCGTTGCATACTTGGAGCTTTGTCGCAGCCGTCTGCCTGGCCTTGCCTGTGTGTGATCTGAGTGGAGAAGAGGTATTGCTCATGCTGACGTACGAGTCCTATTGGTACGTGCCAAATGGTGCAAGGATATTGTGGGAAGTTTGTTGCAATCTCCTGCAGGTGTACATGACCACCATGAAGCTTCACGCACTCGGCTGGCACTGGACAGCTCGGTGCAGCAACATGTTCACAAAGCTGGGTATTGTGTCGCTGGTTGCAATATTTCCGTCGTATGTGCTGTGGCCCGGCGGTTACGCCTTTGAGAAATCAACTGAGATTTGTTTTTACTGCACATTTCTGACCGTAGGCATTCAGTGCGGGGCGTTGGCCCTGGCAGCATGCAGTGCTTTGGCGAAAGCAATGGATGATGAGATCATTCGTTGGACAGCATGCCTTTTGTTTGTCAATTCTGTCTTCGTACTTCTAGGCCCGGTGTTGAGTTTTGGAGGCCTGTTCGCCCTCATCGGCGCGGCTGGTACTCCCAGGACCTTTGTGACAGTAGACGTAGCATTTCAGGTCTGCAACGTGCTGCTACTGAGCGGCATGGTTGGCCCGAGGTTGATGAATCTTAAGACCTTCAACAAAATTGCAGAACTATCAGGTTTTGGGTTGGCTTCCAAGCGCATTGCATTCGATGGACACATCAATGATAGCGCCATGGACTGCATTGTCTCATTCCCGGGGAAGTATAGCGAGTGGTGGGACAGAGCAGTCTCCAGCGTGCAGCAAGATGCATATTCATTGGCATGCGTTTTTCTCACAGATAAGGAGTCTGGTTTAGGCAAGCATGCCAGCAACCCAGCGACCACTGGCAAGTGCTGGTGTCAGGAAATCTATGGCCCCATACCGGCATCAGCTTACCTCAGCGTGGTCGAGGCTGAACAAAACAGCAATCAGAAGCTCGCGTTTGCAAGGGCAGATGCTGAAGCCATGGGTCAGCGATTGGTGATCAAACGAGACCAAGGAGAGATCGAGTGGGAGCGAGAGCTCGCAGAAGCTTTGCGAGATGCTGACAAGCGCTGTGTAGAGAACCAGGAGTTGGCCCCATGGGGGTGTCAGTGGTTCGAGGACTGGAAGAACAACGTGGACAGAGCGGCCCAACATCATCAGATGCTGCACGTTTTCTACTTTGAAGGACGCAAAGGTAAAGGCAAAATGGCTTGGGAGCAGCTATCTTACACGCAAGCAAGGCACGAGGCCAGGCAGAGCAGCGGCCTGGGCGCATCCCAGACTTCTGAAGTTGCCTACCTCGACAAGGTTGGATTGAGATACGTGGAACACGACATCATGGAATTCGAGGAGTTCCTTGCTTCACACCGTTGCCAGGCGTGACGCGCACAGCTTGCGAGAATGTGGTTGCGTGCTCGTGCCCTGTGATGGCATACTCCGCTGAGGTTTTATGGTTTTATGTCGTTTGCATATTACCCCGGCACTGCTCTGCTTGGCATGTGCAAAAGGCACGGATGCGTATATGTTCATGTTCACACGAAGAAGGAGAACAATTCAAAGACTATTCTGGCTTCTGATATGGCGTCGCGTATGTTTGCCGTCCTTGACAGGATAAGTTTCCGAAGTTAGACGTACCCTAGGTTATTCGGACAGGGCCTCCATAGGTCCTCATTGGGGGCGGGGGAGGCTGCGCTGTCATGACAGGTGAGGGGGTTGGGATTAGGGTTTTAGGGTCTAGGTAATTAATAAGTATCTTTGCAGTTACAGCTGGTAAGCTTTGAGTCCCCAATTCCCCAATGCCATTCCAATCCTTATGGCCGATATGAAACAGCAAACCGAAAGCCTATAGACTCCCAACATTGCCCACAAAACAACCCCGACAACCAAGCCCCATAATCCTCATAGATAAAACCTGGAAGCTCCTTTAAGGTGATGCCTGCCTCGTTCCCACATGACCCCTGTAGCTTCCCTCCCCTCTCGAGCTCCCTTGTTGCGGCACACGCTGAGTCTTGCATAGTGGTACGTAAAGAGTGACATATCTGCGCCCTACAAGTCACTGCAAGTTAATTAGCAATCAACGGTAGCAAACGCTTTCATTAGACCCCAGCAGACCTGGGATAGACACGAGCAGCAACCCTGAACACAAAAGATGTGTGCATGTGAACTCAGACCATGAAGTAGCGATTCCACCACGCCTACCGAAGCTGTAACTACATCCAGTTTGCCGTTCATTGCAGTGTTGCATTCGGTTTTGTGGCGACCTAGACATCAAAGTAGACACGCTTCATCTTGCTTGCGCGATTTTAGTTGCGGGGTAAATGCTTCAAAGAACTCTGGAACTGTGATATTTACTGTGCCAATCCAAAGCAGTCTGGGAAGAGGGTGTTCTGACGAAGACAATTCTGGCTCGCCTGGCACAGACTTATCCTCGCTCGGCATATACCACCAGGCGACCTAGTGCTTTCCAGGATGAAGGTGCCTTTCATCGGAGACATCCTGATGGAAGTGAAAGCTCCGTCCCGGTATGTCCCAACCGGTTTCAAAATTCTACAGCCGAAGCCCTCGCTCAAGCCTTAACCCCTAAGGCCCTAAACCGCATACTCCTAGGTCCTAGATACTGTGAGGCCCCGCAATGCACGACTTGACGGTTTGGGGTTGGGTTTCAGGGTTTACCATAAGGATTGCTATGAGTGGTGCTTAAAGCGCGGCCTAGGGCTTAAAGGGTTAAGGATTCGGGGTGGCAGATGGGTCTACTGTTTATGAAGACATCAATGATTAGTAGGACGGTTACATATTCTATCTCCCCCCCCAAAATTGAAATCTTAGCCTCCTGAACTCAAACCCAGGACCCACTGCATCCGAAAACTCTGGTTTCTGGCTTCGGGCTGAAGGCTGAAAGTCGTGTCTAGGCTTCAAGCGTTTTGGGTTCAGGGCTCATCGTACATCCTGTAGTCTCCTTATAGGAATTATTTTTTTGATTTTTGTTCATAGAAAACCCAAGAGAATATTAAGAATATGATTTTAATCATGGTTCTAAGGGGGTTTCGTACATCCTGCGCAGGTATTCCGAGAACATCCCCCTGTCGCGTGGCTGAGTATTGAGATTGGCATGGACTGGGACGTCTTAGCAGATGCAACATGTGTGTGAGGGCCAGAGTACATAGCAAACATATGGGCACATGGACCCTTAGGGTTTAGGGCTTAGGGTTTTAAGGTTTTGGGGATTATCGTATAATATATTTACCCCCCAAACCCTATTCATGGCCCCTATATTAAGTGTTTGGCGTGGGTTTTAGCAAGCCGCTGAGATGAACGATTACCAATCGTGTCCTTGTTTTTCGGGACATCTGACACCGCGGTACCTGACTTCCTTTCCCGCGTATCAGCTGCCTAAATGCCCGTCAAACCACAACCCCAAGCCGCTAACCACCCTGCGAGTGCCTTTGAATCTAAAATGGGAGTTTCCGACAACAGGGGACCCCAATATAGGACCCTAAACAGTAGGATCCTTACTATAAGGACCCCAAAATACGGTACTCCTAATTGTCGGAAACTCCCAAATGAAAGAACGCCTCAGACATGTACACCATCAGACTGGGAAGATGCTGGAAGCCTTCAATGATTCGACTGTCAGCAATAGACACGGACATGCCGAGTCATGAGCATGCCCCCCTTGGGCATTTTGCGGAGAGATAATCCTCTATAGTACCGTTCTTGCAACTCTCATGGTGATAACTTCTGGTACCCGTATAGTAGCCGTTTTAGCAACCTGAGGTTGCGTTGATCAAGAGCTTTGCCTCCAATGCAGCTTGCGCACGGCTGCCGATGGCTCAGCCATAGCCGGAGCCGGGTGTCAGCTGCTTACTGTAGGGGTCTCAATAATTACCTATACTATTGTGGAGTTCCTTTTATAATTATAGTGTAATGGGCCCCAAAACTCTACTCAATTCTGATTATTAAGGTCCCTGTAGTACTCGTAGCTGGCATGTCTCATCTTCGTCGCCGTCACAACACCAGCAGCCGACCTTAAACCACAACCCCTTAAGCCTCAGACCTGCAGCCTCGAGCTCAAACCCTAAACCCTAAACCCTAAACCCATAGTCCTAAAGCTCGGGCCCCGAACCAACATCCCTGTAAATAAAACCCTTCGTAGAGAGCAAAGCAGGTCTAACACCCCCTAAAGGCCGTTTAGAAGCCCAGTTAAAAACCCTATAGAGGCCTACGCCAGAACATTAAATGCCTCTTTGAACCTTACAAAAGCCCTTCTAAAGCCCCTTAAGACCCTATTAAACAGAAGCCCGAGCAACGAGGCTGGAGGCTGCCGGAGGGTTCGAGAACCTCTCGGATGCCGTCGCCAAGGGCGCAGCTGGAGGCTTCTACCGGAGGTGGCTGTGGGCCTGAGAAAGATTCTACAAGGAATGGGTGCGCATAGGGATTCAAAAAGGGATTTCTTAGAAATCTGATAAGGCTTCTGAAGTGCTGTACAAGGGTGTGATCCCGAAGGTTTTATGGGAATTTGCCGTTTGGATGTGTTTGGTGTATTCTGTTTTAGATTGGGTGGTTTTGGTGGCGCTTCGGGAGTTTAGCGCCTTGTGGGTGGAAGGGCTGAGGGTTCAAGGCTAGGGTCATTGCCTTTCGAGATAAGCTCATAGGTGCCATGACTGCTGAGATTGCTTGTATGATGGAACCACAATTGTTTCCGGGCGGGTTGTGCAAAATGGTGGTCAGTTAAGGTAGCTAAAGGTTCAAGATCTAAGGCTCAGGATCTATGTTTGAAGATTTATGGTGCGCGGTTTGCAATCAGTACCAATCAGTACAGCTGCTTTTCCCCATCGGAAAGATTTTCTGAAACCCCTGAGCCTTCTCAGAGGATACAGGACAGTGTGTAGAAGTGAGGAGGCATCCGTTCTTCAGATGCGTACAGTTGTAGAATGTGTTTGGGCCGGGGGTTCCTGACCATTCCAACTCGGCATTGGCCTGGCAACTGGCAACCCTATGGTTCCAAGGCGCCTAAACCAGCACACCAAACTGACGAAAGCCCAGACCAAAAGCGCGAACGTGCAGGCCTGCAACCCCTAACCAGCGGCCCCAAAACAAAGCCGAAATCTTAAAAAAACCGAGAAAGGAGAGGCCTTTACGGATTCGCGTTGCTTGGGTTTTGGGTTGGGGCTTATAAGTATGGGGACTCGGGTAGGGATTACCCAAGGGTAAAAAAAAAGGAGGGACCCTTAATAAGGACCCCTAGGTATATACCCTTAATATAGCTATTACATACCCATTATATAGCCCCATTATGGGGTAGGGGTCCCCATTAAGGGTCCCTCCTTTTCCCCTTTGAGAGTAGAGTCTTGGAGCAGGTCCTCCAGCAAGAATCTGGCCAACCAAGTGCTGGAGGCCGACGAGACGTTGCGAAGTCTCCGGTATCAGACTCTTGGCTGCTGCTTTTTTTCTTTTTCTGCTCATACACAGAGCGGCTTAAGTGATGGGTAAGTTAGAACTTATAGCGGTCGTATAGCTAAGCCTTAAAAAAATCCTCACCATTGTTGCCCCTGCAGTAACAAGGCCGCTGTCCTGCAGGATGGTTGCTCCGATGCTTAGAGCTTGTTCATCATAAACCCTAAACCCCCAAACCTCACCTCAACTCCTAAAGCTTGAAGCCCCGGACCCTAAATCCTGAAGCCCTAACACCCTCAGCCCTCACACCCTAAAGTCTGAACCTCTAGGCTTTTTCATGCCGTCCCTTCTGGGTGTGAATCGTTCGATCCTTTGGTCTGCAGGCCCCGCCGAGGAGGCTAGGACGCCTAGGTAGGGCTTTGGGACATTTCATATTTTCCCTTATTGGGCTTAAGAGGATCTTATTTACTAATATTTTTCAAAGGCTTTAAAAGCCCCACCTAGACGCCAGTTGCCTTCCGGACGTTGGCTCGCAGAGTTTGGGATTTAGCACCCTAAGCCCTACCTTAACCACCAGAACCTACTGTTTTGTAGGCTCCCTGTAAATCCCATATTAGGGTTTGTAATATAAGAACCTACCAAAAAACTAGGGTTTAGTGGGTCTAGGTAAATTTCAGCCCTCCAACCTGAAACCTGAATGGTGTGGAGGGCATGGATCCAAAAAGTGTCGCGAAATGCGGCTATTCTGCATCTGCAAGCCTCAAGCCCTCAAAACCTGAAGTTTTCGAGTTGCGAGAGCCCTCAAGCCTGAAACCCACAAGCACTACCCTTCAAGGAATTTTTGGAGGAAGAGACTAAGCCCCAGTAGAAAACATCCCCGGGGCGCTGGTGGACATGCACAGAATTCCAAGATCGACGCCCCAAGCCCGGAAACTTCTTCTTCATCCCGCAAGATTACTAATAAACAGGCTCGGAGAGCTGGTTTCCGGTAGTTTAGCAGAGCGTTCCAGCAGGGTGTTGAGACCAATGTGCTTGAAATTCCAGGCGTACTATCTCAAATCCTAGACCGCGGCCGATAAACCCGTCGGGCTTTTTTCTGGAAGGCTAAGACAGGTGTAGGGCTTAGCGTGTAGGGTTTGTTCTTGAGGTCTTGAGGCTCCAGGGTATTAGCGTCATTCGCAGTATCATCCCTGATCTGATATTCGAGCAATGTGCGAGGTTCAGAAAGCAAGGGACCCGCAAGACCATACCGCGAGATGCTTGCTATCATGATAAGGATCCCCCTAATTTTTCGAAACCCCTAAACCCTAAACCCTCCCGTGTTCTGCGACAACGGTTCCACCGAAGGAGACAGAGCCCCAGTCAGCCCCAGGTCCTTCACCAGTGTGCCGTGTCACCCCTAGCCCCTTTACATTCAGCGATGCCAATTCTTTACCCGCACCACTCTTGGAAAAGTAGGTAATGCTTCATTGTTGTACGGATTTGCTGAGTTTCCAGTCAAAAAAGCATTCAGTACCCTAGTCGCCCAAACCCTCTGATTGAACTTCAAGACCCAACCCCGAAAATCAACAAGAATCGGCTCTAAACGTATCCCTTATCGAGAGCACGATTTTTCAAGCGGCAAACACCCAAACCCCAAATCACTACATAGCTGCCTTCTTCGCTTGAGACCTGAGGATGTTTAAAGTTACTGGCGAGCCGCCTGGTCTGGCGTTTTGGATGTCCAGAAGCCCAAGGCAGTAGGTTGCCAGGGTTACTGTAAGGTGCCTTGAGCCACCATTATCGCCAAGTTTATCGTAGGTTCTTATTCTGAACCCTACTGTAAAATATCCAAAAGGACCCTACACAACAGCTGGTTCTTGGCAGGTCAAGGCATATGGAGGGTTTGTGGAGCAGTAGCCCCCCTTTTTACCCGGGTAGCTGGGCTTCCAGGGTCGGGTCCGCTCCCATGTGCTGAGTATGCTCCGAATTAGGCCTTCCATTGGGTGTAGTTGTCAAAATAAGGGTCCCTTTTTGGGGGTACCTCAAATATTAGGTGCCGTACTATATTAGGGACCCAAAAAGGGACCATAATTTTGACAACTACCCATCGAGGTATGCTCAGGTCAAGGGTTTATAGGTTTATAGGGCTGGGGTCTTTCTGGAAGGCCTCGTTACCATTCTTGAACCCTCAGTCCTTATATAAACCCCAGCTCCTCAACCCCAAGTGTTTGTGTTTGTGGTCTATAGTGTTTTAGGATGCATCGAAGGAGTTCGTTTTATCCGAAGGTTGAGGAGGATACAACCCTAAACCCTAAATACGGTCTTGAGGACACAGGCCTCTTCCACAGTACCCTGAGTCGGGGGTCTGAAGTTCCTTGAAAGTGGGCATTTTGGTGATTCCCGAAAATTGGTGGTACCTTCTTTTTGGGATGCTTATAATAAGGCAATAAGGATCCTACTATTTCGGGTGCTATATTAGGGTCCCCCATTTTCGGCAACTCCCATTTCGACAAAATACACGGTAGTTGGGCGGCCCAGACTGGATCCCCTAAAACCCAGACCAGCTTAAACCCTAAAGTGACCCTGATAGTAACCCTCTAGGTTAGAAGCTGCCCCCACCCTGTAATAGTGGTATAATAGGAATATATTAGGGCCCTAACATAATCCTATAAACCTTATAGTCACTATTACAGGGTGGGGGGCAGCTTCTAACCTACAGATCCCTTTAAAGGAACCCTAAGCCTCAAAAAGGTCTTGTGGTTTCAGACTCGGGGGGTCTTTTCAGTTTGGGGCTGAAAAACCCTGAAGCCCTTGGCCGAAAGGTTTCAATCCTAGATCCTGCAGCCATGTAGCTAATGTAGCTAAAGTTAATATAGGGGCATGAGTGATTAGCAAAGGAGTCTTTTCAGGGTTTTATGAGGGGATGGCCCAAATGACGGGGTACCTTGTAGTGCAATCATATGAGGGAAGCCTAAGGACCAATCTTAGCAAGGATTTTAGGCCTCGCGGCGCTGGACCCGAAAGCCCTTAGGCCCTAACCCCGGTTTAGGATTCAGGCCGACCCTACGGTGGCCCGACAGTGTCGACTTGTGACCCACAAGCCCCAAGGCCCCAAACTTAGGATTGGGACCCAGTGGCCATGTCCCGAAAGTGTAAACCCCAGATGCCACACCCTGGAATCGTCAAAGTCACTACGCCCTCAATCTTAACTCCTAAACCCGAAACGCTCCATAGCAGTTCCTAAACTAGCCCTTAACCCCTCAAACAGAAATCCTAAACCCAAAAGACTAGACTACAGACCCTGACCCCTACCCGAAATCCTAAACCCAAAACCATAAGACCCTAGCCACCCTAAACCCTACACCTCTAAACCCCTAAACCCCTAAACCCTAAACCCCGCACCCCGAACCCAAAACCCTCTTACAGATCCCTTTATCTATATAAATAAATAAATAAATATAAATATATATATATATATATATATATATAAGCCCAGGCTCACCAGATACAAGTTGAACTGGACATCTCCAGAGCCGTTGAACATCGCGGCCTACAGAAAGCCAGGCGAGTGTTGTGCAATCTGGGTTGTTGAGGATTTTCGTTCGGGGTTTAGGAGGTTAGGGATCAGGTTGAGGGGCTTAGGGAAATGTAGGGGGTGTAGTTGTTCGTTAAGCAGGTCCTGCTTCTTTTCGCGCGACCTCCAAAACAAAGCTAGTTTTCAATGGCCTGCTACATAAAAGGATAAAGTTGTGTTTTCGGTGTCCCAAGATTGTACCTGACAAGTCACGGAGCCAAAGAGGGTCGAAGATTTCGAGCATTTTCAGGATCTTGCTAGTGCCGATCAATCCTGATGAGGGTGATGTCTCTTTCACATGTGGGTAGTTGTCAAAATGATGGCCCCTTTTGGGGTACCCTAAATAGTAGGTGCCATACTATTTTAAGGACCCAAGAAGGGACCATCATTTTGACAACCACCCATGTACGGTTGAGGTAAGTTGCCTTTTACCTTGTCACCCCAGTCAAAGCGTCAACTTTTGTGGGGCGAAGGTGCTGAGGAATTACAGAAGTGCAACGGTAGGCCGGAAATATAGAGGGGCTTTAAGAACTAGAGTAGGGTTTGGGGGGGGTGTTATACTACAACTATACTAAGGAGCCCCCAAAACCCTCTTCTGATGGTCAAGGCCCCTATCAGGCCCTGTTCGTTGCCCTGTGTGGTGCTTGTACACGGCTTTGAGAGCCTCTTAAAGTGCTTGGAGGCCCAAGGATCAATGTTTTAGGCTTCGGCTTTGGGGATGAGATGCAGATTGGGGTTCAAACCTTCAGGGTTTGGGGCTTTGGGTTTGGAATCTGGAGTTTACGGTTTTTGGTGTTTAACATGTAGAGTTTGGGGGTTTAGGGTTTAGGTTGCCTAGGCGGATTAGTGTTCAGCCTTGGGGCTATCCTTTTTTCCTGCAAGACCGAAGGCGACGAGTACAGACCACACTGCGATGGCCGGTGTGGGGTGCCCAAGGATGGGATCGCATGTTGGGCCCTGGAGCCTGGACCCTGCATGTCGGGCCCTTGAGAAGCCTACACTGCCCACACCCTAAACTCTAGAGTGGCTGAGTTGCGAGGTTTTCGGCAGGTAAGGCATGAACACGAACATGAGAGTACGAGGTTGCATAAACAGAGTCCCTGAACCAGGGGGGGGCCTTACACGCCCAAGTGGCTTTGGGCTTTTTTAAAAAATTTCGGAATTGGAAGGGTCACGCGGGATTTTGGCCACTCGTTACCCTGTGGCCCTCATGACACATATTGGTGGCATCCATGCAGCATGATATCCACTCACATCCAGTAAACGTGGGCCGGTTCAAGTTACACCTGACCTGTGTGATCAACCTGAAATCACTAGATCTCTAACCCCAGATCCGACTCCGCAAACCAGTCTACTGTAGGGGCCTTAAGAATTACCTATACTATTTCGGGAGGTTCCTTCTTTTAATTACAGCCCCCTCAGATTCTTAGTTTTCAGTGTTCCTGCCACTTCCACATTCTGCTTGCCTGGCAGGCTTCAGGGGGGCTCAGATTCTTAGCACATTCTTAGCCGGGGTTTGACCCAAGGTCCAAAGGTATTGAGGAGGCCGCAAATCCACTATGCCAAAGCAGTCTTCCACACCTTTCCGTAAAGGTTTCCGACTTGGGACCTGGTCTCCAGCTTGGGAACCAGCCCTAATAAGAGCCTATGAAAGTTAAGAATCTGAGGGCTGAGATTCTTAATTCGGAGGTTTTCTAAGGTCTCCAGCTTGGGAGCCAGCCTGAATCAGAGCCTATCAAAGTGAAGAATGTGAGGGCTCAGACTCTTGATTTTTCGAGGTTACGGTTTGGTTCAACAAAATTCCGAGCTAAGAATGTGCCCCAGATTTCAGGGGGGGGTCAAATTCTTAAGTCGAAGGCGGCCTGACACGGGTGGAGAAATAACCACTCGCAGGAAAATTCAGCCCCTCAAATTCTTAAGCAATGAATTCTTAACCAATACTTCCGCTGTATAGTATAATAGACCCCCAAACCCTATTCTAGTTATTAAGGCCCCTATGTTGCGTGCAACCCCAAACCCCCGAACCCCATCGAGGAATTCGAAGGCCCTATCTTCTGAATTCACGACGAGATTCTGCTACCCGGTTTGTTGCCGAGGCGGCGGCGACCGCCATCGTCCTGGCGAGCGTGTGGCTGCTGCCTCATTTGTCAGGAACCGGAAGAAGCATGCAAAGATATACATTATGGATACATTAGGGGTGTAAGCCCGTACTTATGTGCTTGCTGGAACACTGGAAGGGCGGATTATGGCATATCCCAACCCTTCGGGTCTTTGGCTGCGTGTTAGTGTTCGGACTTGGTTTTAGAGTCTGGGGTTTAAACTCAAACCAAAGACTTAAACCCTTGAGCCTGAGCCCTGAATCCTGAAGCAACGAGAGCCATGTCTCCCAGGAATCCCAGGTCTCGAAGTCCCCGAAGCTACTCCAGTCTCGTAGGTATTTAGTGCTTGCAGAAAAGCATCGCCGCTGAGGCCACCAGCATCTTGTATTGCCAAGTACCTGCAGAAGGCAGGAAGGGTTTAGGGTTTAGGGTTTAGGAGGAGTTCCGAGTCACATGCGTGAGGGTGCCTGCTGCACTATGTATACGCATTCTGGTAATGATGGTGGTGGTGCTTGTGGTGACGATGATGATGGTGATGATGCTGGGGAATAACAATAAGGTTGATCATGATGCTGGTGGTGGTGATGATGGTGGTGACGGTCCAAACGATGACGGCAGTGCAATCTATGATGATCCTCAGAAGCGTGGTCATGTTGCTGGTGATAATTACGGCGAGAATAGATTACCATTAATGGTGCTGAGTAATTTCTGCCCACTGCTAAACAGACGAGCAAAACCAATTTGCATCGCTGGAAGCAGTTCCAGTATCTCTGCAGCTACTACCATTCCTGCAAGTGCCAATAAATCTGTTTGGATTACAGTAGAAGCCGAAAAGTTGGAAACCTAATAGCCTCAACCCTGAAGAGTAATGTATAGGGAATCCCAGCACTATTTGGCCTTTATCCGGTTTCCAACTTTACGGGGTTTACTGTATGGTCCTTTAAAGAGCTACTGTACTTGTCATCCGTTTTCGTAATACGGTGAAAGTGCATACTGGCACGATTACGACTGTTAGTATGGATACTTTATACTGAGGCTGCGGTTGCTGTTGCTCCGGCTACGCTTGCGTCTGCTCTTGCTTTCAGTTTGTGCGTTTGATAGACTTCAAGCAGCATCACCAGAAAGAAAATTTCAAAAACAACCGCGACAACGACGGCAGTCACCAGCACCACAAAGACTACGCAACCCTAAACCCTAAACCGTGACTTTCTTTCCGCCGTTGGTTGAAGGCCTGTCGATGGACCTGGGTTTTGACTGGAGGCTCCGTGAATGCGCCCTTCCTGCGCAGGTGGACACACCACTTTCACCATGGACAGCCTGAAAATCGGCCCTGATCAAGGTGACAGTGTTTCTGTGGGCCCCCGGAATCCTCAACCCTAACTTCGGGGGGGTGGGAAGTAGAAAGAAGTGAATCCCGAAATCCTTCATCCCTGAACCCTAAGCTCTGTTTAGGATTTCAGAAAAAAGTTTCAGAAATGAAGGGACCCTAGCATGTGGACCGTGCGTGGTAGGAGTAGGGCCACTAGAAAGGAGCCTGCAAAGACCCACAACGTTAAAGAAATGCTCGCTGAAATACAGAGGCTTGAAGAATTGCTCATAGTATCCCCTTGTAGTCCCCAGTATGACGATACTGCAGTATACACCGAACAAAAGCTATAACGGGGCTTGTAGGACTCACAAGAACGAAGGTTTTGAGACTAAGCTTGAGGGATCGTGGGGCTTTGCTTGTGGCCCCAGCTCTCAATCGGCCGGGGTCATCGGAAACCGGCGTGAGTTCACAGAAGTTGAATGTCTGAGACTCTGGCTGTAGAGGAGTGCTTCACGAACCCTAAACCCCAAACCCGGAGCCCGAAACCTTAGTGGCTGTACTGTTCTTCTCCGAATTTTCTTTTACAGTAATGTAGGAACCTGATTAAGAAACCCCGGGCCTATAACCCCGAAAATAGTAGGGTTCATAGGAGGAACCCTAATACAGGCCCCAGGTTTCTTAATCAGGTTCCTACATCAACCCCCCGCAAAAAACCCTCTAGTACCCTTTAAAGGAACCCTTATAGAACCCTATAGAGGCCCAAGGTCAGTTGGCCAGGTTCCTACATTATTATAGTACCCTTATAGATCCCTTGTAGTTTTAGGTCCAAGGTTTCTTAATCAGGTTCCTACATTATATGAAGCCTCCCCTAAACCCTAATCCCTAACCCCCTGATCCCTAAAACCTGCGAACATAAAATGACGACGTTTCTGACTGGTCTTATCAGGGGCAACTTTGAAGACAAGGGCAAAAAGTTTCGTCTTTATTCGTGGGATGGACACTGGGTGCTTGCTATGAAAGTGCAGTTCCAGAGGTGGCAAAACGGTATCCAACAGGAGAACGTGGGACTCGGCACTCTTCCGGGGATCATTGCCACTGACTCGAAGAAGAGACTGGCTTTTCGAGGACCCATGAAGGAGTCTGCGGACACTATCGGCCAACCGGCTTCCCCCGTGTACGTTGGTTGCGTACAAGGGCATAGCCAGAGCCTCCAAGCGGCGAATGCGGCTATCGCCAAAGCTTGGCTTAGCCTGCAGTCAGGTTATGAGGTTAAGGAAGCCACCCGAGAGGGTAAACCCCGAAAGCCCAAAACCCTAAACAAACCCCTAAACACCAAACCCTACACCCTGTTCCTCTAGTAGCCCTTATAGACCCCTTTAAAGGAACCCTAAAAAACAGCCCAAGGTTTCTTAGTCACTTCCTTTTACAGTAGACTTCTGCTTCGGCACCCGGAAACCTCTGAGACTCAGGGCCGCGTGGCTTTGGCTTGGGTTTAAAGAGTTTAGGGTTTTAGGGTTTAGGGCTTAGGGTTTAAGGGTGTAGGGTTTAGGGTTAAGGGTTTAGGGTTAGGGTTTAGGATGGTTCAGGGCTTAGGGTTAGGGGTTTAGGGCTTAGGGTTTCGGGTTTAGGGTTTCCTACGTTCCGCGCACACCACCACGCGGGACGTGTGTCGTGGTGTGCGCCTGGGTTCACCGCTCTGCCCAACCCACCCACCCACATCTCAACCTTGACGGGTTTAGGGCTTTCAGTGATAATTGGGCTTGTTTCTATGAAAAGTTTATGGCTCTGGCTCTGGCGAAGCATTGAGCGTGCAGTTCAGCACATGTTGTCTAGGTTTCGACTTCTTGAGCTCAGAATGTCACTTGCAATCTTGGGATGGTGTGAATTCGGTATAATGCGTAGTTAACTGATGTGTAGTGATTCATACTGCTATTCATATCGGTTGTTTCGGGGTCTGGCTGTGACTTTTTGTTCAGCGCACGCATGTAGACACGTAACTGGGAGTGACAGGACAATGATGTGGACAGGACCGCTTCCGTGACGGTCGACAAAGAGAAGATGTGTCTTGTCCGTCGTGGCACCACAGGCATGAAGCAGTTGAAGGAGATTTTTGAAGACCATTATTATCGGCCAAAGACCATCTTCGGAAAGAGCTTTGTCAATGACACTTGTTTAAGGTGGCATGTGATGGATATCGGCGCCAATATTGCGGCGGCCTCTCTCTATTTGTTGAAGTGCATCGCGGGAAAGATTCGGCGCATGGATGTATTCGAGCCTGAAGATGTGAACATGCGAATAGCAAAAGAAATTTGAGGGGCTGGACTGGCGGACACGGAGTCGTCTGTCATGTTGCTGCTGTTGTTGTGGTTGTCGTGGTTGTTGTTGTTGCTGCTGCTGTTTGCTGTTGCTGTTGTTGTAGTTGTTGTTGTAGTTGTTGTTGGTGGTGGTGGTGGCAAGCCGGTTTTCTTTCTGCTTTGCGAACCACCACCTGCGCTGGCGCACTTATCGCGCAAGCCGCCAAAAATTTAGGGTTAGGGTTTAGGATGGCTTAGGGCTCTGAGGGTTTCGGGTTTCCCTACGACCCAACGGCACTCAAAATTGTACCGTACTGGTACGGCGTTCTATCGGTTTCTGTGGCGGAGAGTAGGTTTGAGATGCAACTGCCAAGTAACGCAGAAGCCCAAGCAGGGTTAGGATTCAGGGGCTTATGCTTTAGGGTTGGCTCCGATTTCGAAGGGATAAGACGCCTTTTACCATGAAAGGTGCCAGCCAAAAGTCCCCACCAACAGTTTGGGATTGAGCCCCAGCATCTCATGTAGGGGTTTGGGAGGGTTGTGGGGGTTCCTGATTATGTATAATTCCTTCAAACCCTGTTCTAATTAGTAAGGCCCTTATAATGTTATGGAACCCTACTATAGATCCCTATAGACCCCTTTAAGAGGATCCCGTTTAAAGGGAACCCTGTTCTAATTATCAAGTCCCCTATATTACACACACCCGTATAATACCCCTTATAGTAACCCTAATCGGTCCCTCTTTAAGCATCCCTTTGAAGGACCCCCGTTGTTGCAACTCTCCTGTAGATCCCTTTTAAGGAACCCTTTAACGGGAAGCCTATTCCAATTGTTAAGGCCCCCATTATAACCCATCAAGAGGAGACATGCTGGTTTTCGGCTACCTGATCGGCCAGACTATGGCGAGACAAGAGGCGTGCTGAAAACGGGAAGTTCAGCCTGTTCTTGGATTTCAACAGCATGTGGAATAATGGCCTTTTATATATTGAACTCACATATTTGATGTACGTATGTAGACGAATGGTCTTCTATACATACTGGGCCATTATTCTACCTACGGGGGTTTAGGCTGTCCTTTTTCACTTCCAGGCCGTGAACCCTGAAGCCTTGCAATTTACCCAAGTTGCTTCAGATCAGAGCAGCACTTGCCATTTCTTTGGCCTTTTGGTTCCGATCTGTTGATGAACAGGCTCATCATTTTTGGGGTTTTGGGGTTTGGGGTAAACTTACAGAATTCACTGTCTGCTGAATCCTGCCAACCAGCCCAGCCATGTCGAGCACCGGAGCAGGTAGTGAGGGAAACAGGGGGCCTTAATGATTAGAATTAGAACAGTGGGTTTCTTACCTTTGGTCAGTAGGGAATGGAGGAATGGGGTACAATTATAACTACTATTACTACCATTCTTCCATTCCCTACTAAGCAAAGGTAAGCTTTTGGTATGTGCGTGTCATATTCGTATCAGGATGCCTAATGAACAAAATTTGTTTGTAGTTGTCCAGGCACTCTTTGTGATGCTGCCGAAACAATAAGGCTCCGAGTCCTAGACGATGATATAGGGGTCCGTCTAATTAGCATAACAGATGTTTAGTTTCGGGTTCGTTCTTATACGTAGTTTTGCATTATCGAATTAATTACGTATTCCAACATCTATTATACAAGTCCCAAAAGTAAGGCACCAGTTTAACACCACAGAAGCCGTAGCAAACCCCAGAAAGCAATCCCGCAAACTCTATACCGACCTCGTCCAACAGTTGGGGCCGCAATGTTATGCTATAGGGGCCTCAATAGTTACCAATACTATTTTGGGGGTTCCTTATTATAATTAGGCTCCAAAACCCTATTCTAATTATTACCAAAGGCCCTAAATTAAAGTACCCTTATAGTAGCCTTTATAGTAACCCTTTTAGACCCATTTAAAGGGAACCCCATTCTAATTATTTCTGTGAGGCCTCTACATTACTTCCTCGCCAGGCTGAGCACAGCGCTTGTCCGGTACTGGCAGGAGGAAAGTGGATTGCCACGCAGTGGTACGCAGAAGAGACGCTGCTGATTTCGGATCTGGGTTCCGGGTTTAGGGCGAGTATTTTAACGAAGTTTAATGTTAGGGGGTTTAGGAATAGGACTTTGGGGGGCTTCGGGTTTAGGCTCTAGAAAACCCTTATATAATTACTATCACCGTCCCCCACTGCCCAAACATGCAGTCTCTCGACGGTTCCTAGTCTGTTTCATCCTGTAGCATCACTACGAGCGGCACAATGCGAGCACTACTCGTTCTAAGAGTACAGCAGCTGCTGCTGCTGCTGCCGTCCTCCTACTACTACTACTACTACTACTACTACTACTACTACTACTAGTACTACTAGTACTACTAGTACTGCTACTACCACTACCACACTACTGACGACGACTACCCATACCACCTCTAATGCCATTACCACGACTGCTTCAGGGTACTGGAGGGGCAAGGGCGGCTTCCTGGCATTTCTCCGCGCCCGTTCTGCTATATTCCCTTTGACACTGCAATAGCATTCCTCTTCGTGGGCCATCGTGGTCTTGGAAGTTGTTGCGACCTTGTAAGGGCTAAGGTTTGGAGTTTGTCTGTGCTGCAGCGAGGAAGCAGAAGACCAAGTGTGACGCCGCATCACCACCGAGATCGGCTACATCAGTTTGCAGAGCCTGCTGACGTATGGTTGGACTTGATACCTGCCTGCGTGCTTTGCTTTTGCTGCTTCCGGTGGCTTGCTATCCCACGCCGGGTTGACCAACAGCAGGGACTTGAATCTGGCAGAATCTGGCAGACTTGATGGGCGAGCCTCCTGCTTCAAAGCCAAACCTTGTTGAGAAGACGCGCACCTTTACAATAGCCTGGATGTGGAAGCGTGTCTGGGGCCCCACGCATCACCGGCTGTCCATGCCAGGTTTCCGTGCGAAGTGCGGCCACTATGACGTAACCAGCAGCCCGTCATCGACCTGAAGTTGTGCCGCCGCCCCCTAGTCCTAGCAATTCCTAGGGCTCCAGCTGCGTAAATAGTAAGGCTTACCAACCATTATATTCAGAAACCCAGTGTTTAGGTAGCTGGAGCCCGAAGGAATAAGAAGACGGCTCCTCCACGAAGTGATGCTACGCAGCGGCTCATCAAAAGAATGGATTTGCTCGCATGGTTGCTTCAGCTGCAAAACCTGTGTAGTAAGAGTTCTCTCGAAGTTAGTGTAAAACAGCATAATTCGATTTTGTTAGTTATTATTATATTACATTATATTGCATTTGTTACATCTTAATTACTACGTCCCGAGAAGGGAGATCGGTGGAGTTTCGAAAAACAGTATCCTAAAGGAACCCCTGAAGTTGATCAGAAGCCTGGTTGCTCTTTTCAGTTTATGCGGACAGGTTTGTTCTGATTCTGCCAGACAGTCTCGCTGTTTGTATTTCCTTACAAGCGTGTGATTCGACCTATACATATGGGTTCTGTGTTTGTTCTCATCAGCCCTCCTCGTGCCCCAGCAAGAGTCATCATATCGCGACCCCGCGGGCTCCTCCAAGTCTCCGCCCGAAACATAACCTGAAGCCCAAACCCTAACCCCTTAGAGCACCCCTTGTAGAAGCTCTTACAGTATAGCAACGTTTACAGGAGCGAGCCCTTATAATGAGGTAAAGGAGCAGCCCTCCGCCCCCAGAGCCTCTCAAGCTGAAATCATATCAGCACTACCCAGGTCTCCCAGATGCCGACAGAAGCACGCACAGTGCCTCTGGACTTGGCACAGAAGTTCCTTGCCGTTTCATGGCGCCTTTTCCGTGGATTCTAGGGGGTTGTTTAAGGTAGAATGCTATTCCCTCAGCAACTACTGCTACGGTTCCCCTCGACTCTTAGCCGTCGATGTACCCCGCAAGCCGTGGATCCTGCGCCCTAAGCCTAATATCGGGGCCTCAAATAGTAGAAGTAATAGTAACATATACCCCAAAGCCCTTTTCGAGTTATGAAGGCCCCTAAAGTACTGCCCTGATCCAACCGCTCTGGTTTCTTTCCGTAAGGCCACCGGAACAAAAAGGATCCCATTCCCCGGCTCTCAGGATAGCAGAGGTTGGGCCTAAGGGTTTTGGGTTTAGAGTGGGTCAGGGCTTAGAAATTAGAAAATACCACAGAGGCCACATTCTGTGGCAGTTACCAGCTAAGCTGCCAAGTGATTTTTTTATATAAGATTTCGCTTTTTCTGCTCGAATCCTCTACTCCCAGAGACTCCAGAACCCCTTAATTAAGGAATATACCTTAAATTGTCATAGGAGCCCTAATATGATTTAAGGTATATTCCTTAATTAAGGGGTTTTGGAGGTGCTGGGCTCCGCAATCTCCACAGTATTCAGGGCTTCTTGGCTTTGCAGTTGGGTGCTGTTTGCGATGCTACAGCTCCTATTCCGTCTTGTCACGTTGGCTGCCTCATTCCATGTCTGGCCCCTATAGTTACCCTAAGCCCTGATATCCTAATCCCTACTTGGAGCGTCATGGGTAGTTATAAGTGGGGTTATAAGTAGTGTAACTACACTTATAACCCATATTAGGTGACTTATAACTCCAGTTATAACTACTCATGAACCACCAAGTAATACCCTCACACCCTCAACCCTAATCCCCTTTACCCGCAACCCCAATATCCTACACCCGAACCCTAGAGTGGCTCTCTTCTCACTCGGGAACCAGGTCTGACGACCAGGTCTCCCGTTGCTGCTGTATACTAATATTTACATATAAGAACAGAATAAGATAATAGTATAATATTTCAATATCATAGTCGGTTTAGGGTTTAGGGGTTCCACCCTAAAGTCCACCCTAAAGTCCCGAAAGCCGCGAAGCTCTAAAGCCTTGCAAACCCTAACCTATCCCTTAAACCTCCAAAGCTGAGACCTTGAAAGAGTGGCCATCACACTTAAAAGGAAGCTGAGGCCCTGAGCCTTAAAATCCCCAACCCATTAATCATTCGCTGAAGCTGGCAGCGCCCTCATCCTTGCACTTAGGGCTTTGGCGTTTAGGGTTTAGGGGACACTGCATCATGCCAGGTTAATGCTCGGCCGTCTACATCAGAGTGGCCTTTTTGAACAGCTCCTGTCTGCGGAGCTTGCACAAAGGCCGGGGTGTGACGAAAGGAGATCGTCTACTATAGGTATAACTGCTTACATAAATAGATATAGGTAAAAACCGAGACAAAGTTGAGTTTTTGTGTCCAAATGAAAATGTGTATATATATATATATACATACATATATTTATATGTGTATACATATATATATATATATATATATATGTCTATATATATATATATACACATGTATGCACATACATATGATCTACTGGTTTGACCACTTACTGTAATCGCAAGGCCGCATGAGCCAAGTTCCGCGTGTTACGCTGGTGGTTTAGGGTTCAGGTTGGCAGCACAGTACACGACTACCCACTTTCACATGTTGCGCGTACACTGTTGTCTACCGATGTGCTGCTATGCTGTAAGATGGCACATTCTGGGTTGTTTGTACGCTGGTGTACAAAAACATGGGTTCCCATCTCATATGGTCAGGGTGGGTGCTACTGCTTTGTACTAACCAGTACAGTGCACGAATTCAACAGGGAGCCCTAGGCAACCATATATCACTGCCTTTGAACGGCAGAGAGAGCAGGCTCAGATGCTAGAGTTCTTGCAAGGGGCTGGGACAAGTCCATCCTTTCGGGGGAATTGACCAAGGTTAGGGTTGTGCTGCGGACGGAGGAATCAAGGGTTTAGGGGTTTGTCGGTGACCCTAAACCATGATTAGCCTGGCAGCACAGATGCCAGCTGGAAAGCAGAATTCCACGCAGTTCCGGAAAGCCCATAACGCCTGAATCCATCAGCCGTGGAACCCCAGACCCGCACGCCTCAAGAGATAGTAATGCAGTATATAGTATAGACCATAGTCTACACTATATATGATATAATCTACAACCTTGAACTGTCAGCCCTGGTAAAGCCCTAAACTCTAAACATTGGCACCCGGAAGGCTCGCGGTATTGGTTATGATGCAAATATATACGTGTGTGTATATATATAGTTATATATGTATGTATATGTATATATATATAGATATATATGTATGTGTTTTTGCCCCCCCCTCCCCCCCCGCCCCCGCATAATACACATGATAGCACCCAATCTGACCCTTATGTTGTAGACGGTTGCAGAGTGGGGTCAGTACCCAAAGGACTTAGATGCCACCCTAAACCCCTAAACCCCTAAACCCCTAAACCCCTAAACCCCTAAACCCTAAACCCTAAACCCCAAACCCCTAAACCCCTAAACCCCTAAACCCCTAAACCCAGAGCCTTGCCAGATATCTTTGTTGCGTTTCCCGCTCGCATCTTGAGATCATGCCGGGAACCCGGAGGTTGGGGTTTAGGGTTTGGGATTTAGGATTTGGTGGCTTTGGGGTTTGGGGTTTGGGCTTTAGGGGTTTGGGATTTAGGGTTTGGTGGCTTTGGGGTTTGGGGTTTGGGCTTTAGAGTTTGGGGTTTGGGGTTTAGGGTTTGGGATTTAGGGTTTGGTGGCTTATGGGGTTTGGGGTTTGGGCTTTAGAGTTTGGGGTGTGGGGTTTAGGGGTTTGAGGTTTGGGGTTATTAATGTCCCCCTAAACCCTAAACCCTAAATTATGATGTTTGATCTGGTGGCGACAGCGATGCAAAGCTCGAGGGTCGAGCCGGGGTTTGTTGTGATTGGAGGTTCGGGCTTAGGGTTCAGGGTTCAGGGTTTGGGGTTTTGGTTTGTCGTTGAGGACCAACCTGGAGCAACCAATGTACCTCAAAACGGGGACATGAACCTAACAGGTTGCATGTACATGCACCTTTATTCAGCTGGGCTGTCCTTTGGGATCTTTGTTTAATTTCCCCTACTACTTTGTAGAGAACCATAACAGTAAATAATTTTCAAAGGGCTTAATTGACAACTCAGTCAGGTATCTTGGTTACTCTAGGTAGGGTTTCGGACTTTGCCTTTTGGTCCTCGGAGCCTTAATCCAGGCCAGATGGGAGTCGCTGTGGAGTCCTTTGGCGCCTTTTGGGCTGAAACCCTTTGTGGATAATATCAGAGCTTAAATAATTACCTATACTATTTTAGGGGCTCCTTATCATAGTTATAGTATAATATACCCCAAAACCCTATTCTAAATTCTAAGGCCGCTATGTTAGGATCCAGTAGGAACTTGTGAAACCAGCCTCGTTGCAGGTTCACACCCGAACCCCTAAACCCCTAAACCCTAAACCCCTAAACCCTAAACCCTAAACCCGGAGTATTCTAAAGTAGAAGCTGAGACTCCTCAGTCCTAAACCCTTCCCCTCCTGAACCTCTCCTTAAAGGATCATGGGACTTAGTAAGTAGGTTATAATTGGGGTTATAAGTCCCCTAAGTGGGGTTACCATAATTATAATCTACTTATAACCTTACTTACTAAGTCCCATGAGCCTTCAAGTACCCTTTCGAAACCTGAAAGTTAGAAGCTGCCCCCACCCTGTAATCGTGACTATAAGGATTATATTCGGGCCCTGTTATATTCCTATTATACCACTATTACAGGGTGGGGGCCCTTTCGAAACCTGAAAGCCTTAACCCCAGAAATCTGATCCCCGCACGTAGTCGACCTCAAGTCAAAAACCTCAAAACCAGGATTTGTTTCGGACCCAGAGACTCCAATATCCCTTAATTAAGGAATAATCCTTAAATCATATGAGGGATCCTACTATGATTTAAGGTATATTCCTTAATTAAGGGATATTGGAGTCTCTGGGGAGGCTTGAGACGTCGACCTATATTGGTGCAGCCTTACGTCTTTGGGGGATTTTGTAAGTGCCCGGAGGACCCACTGAAGGAGCCACGGATTAATTAGTGCTAGGAGGGTAGAGCTTCGTGATCCTGAGCATCTGAACTCCTGGAACCCTGAACTCTGTCAGCTAAGACTCCACGGAAAATGGGGAGAAGCGGTCAACCCGACCCAGGTCTGAACCAGGAACCCCTCCCACTGCACTTAAAGACCCTCTCTTTTTGCCTGAACCCTAAACCTGCCTAAACCCTAAACCCCTAAACTCTAAACCCTAAACCCTAAAACCCTAAACCCCAAAACCCTAACACCCTAAACCTGAAACCCTAAACTCCTGCCGAGGCCATCGTCTCCCAAAGGGTCATTCGAGGCAGCGACCGCGGCTCTTAAAGCAGATGCGTTTCTGACAAGGTTCCTAAACCCCTAAATACTTCATAGCATGAACCCCCATAATGCGGACACACCCTCAACCTCTAAACCTATGAAAGAAGGCAAGAAGCCTGCCGTCTAGCAAGATCTATTAGCCTTGCAAGCCCCATTATACGCCCTAAGTTTGTCGGGTAATGTTTGAGCCCTGTTCTAAACGCGATTCTAAGATATACTACAAACCCTCTTTCAAATCATGAAAATCAGCAGCCCTTTCCTAAACCCTAACTTTGCTGGCAGGTAACCAATCTCAGTGCCAACCCAATTGCCATCTCGGGGCCAAAGCTTGGGAAGGGCGAGAAGTCCACGCTCAGGCTGGAAATGTAGGGTCCAACGTTTAGGGTGGGGATTTAGAGTTTGGGGGTGTAGGGGCTTGGGGGGTTTAGGATTTGGGCTGCATTGTAGGGCTCAGGGTTCAGAGTTTAGCTGCAAGGTTTGGTTGTTTCAGGGAAATTTCCAGCACATGGAGCATCACTAGCATCAACTAGGTCATTGTCATTACTCTCTTCCTTGCTAACTCATTTAATGTTATTATACCTCCTTGGTGTCGCCATCTTCATCCTCATCACAATAATCGCCATTCTAAATCTCCTCACAGCCAACACAAGGTTCCTTTTCTATGGTTGTGACGGGTGTCGTGATGTTGATTAGCCCTGGTGTGTCAGGCGTCGTCATCACACGCATTACCGGCAGCATTATTCTTGGCAGTACCAAGACACCCCAAGCTGTAGCTTGAATCGTTGTGGGCGTTGAGTCCTTGAGTAAAGTATTCCCGATCGGTACCGCAGCTATCGCTTATGATGAAAAGGCGTGTCAGACTTGTCCTGACAGCAAGCGTTCATCTTGTCACTTTGTTGCACTCTCCTGGCTACTAGGCGAGTTCTTAACCACCTTTATCACCAATTGCAACGGGTCGGACCTGTTGCTGCTGTGGGAACGCCGTGGTTGTTAGCAGTGCTTCGGCTGATGAAGCGTTGCTCTGTGTTCCTTGTGTCGCTACACTACGCCTCAAACCCAAGAACCAAAGCACCCTCGTGCCTGATCCTTGTGGAAGATTGAGGTGTTTGCCAACTCGGGTGGGTTAAGAAGGCGGCTTCTTTGGTTTCTTGTTAGGTTTCAGGCTTGGGTGTGCAGCAAGGTTGGGGAATCCGGCGAAGATTGATGCTCCTTCTAGTAATCCTCGTAGTGACCCGTCATGTGCCCACCCATGTCTGTCGATAGCGCTATGATCCGGTTCGTACTCGCATTGCCCCCAAACAAAGTGTTCTACTGGTATGCGAAGAGGTACTTTGGCTTAGGGTTAGGGTAAACCCTAAAGTCCTAAAGCCTTAATTAAACCTCACCATTTCGGGGGGCCTAGAAAGACTGTTACCAGCAGGCTAAACAGCATCAAACCGCCTAACACCTGCAAGCCCTCAACCCCGAGCCGCACCCCCGAAAGCCTCGCATATGGAGGGAATGGTGATTTCCGAAATCCTAAAAACAGAACCCTTAACGCTGCACTCAAGCATCCAGGCTTCTTAGTCTAAGCCAAATATCGAGCCAAGCCTTTTTTGGGGGGTGATCCTAGGCCCGCAGACCCTAGACTCTAAACCCTGCGTGACCCCTAGGACCTCCCCTAAACCTTGAAATCCTTTACGCCTACAATTACACCAACTTGCACAGAACCCACACGTTTTTTTTATCAATGCCGTATACGTTCTAAAAGGTTTGCAGCCAAAAGCCGTTTGGAAGCACCGGACCATGCCAAGAATCCTTGTAGATCCTTTGTAGGAACCCCTACAGAGGACCCTTCAACCTTGCTAAGGTTCTGAAGCCCCTTGAACCTAAATCCTAAAACCCGAAACCCTAATCCCTAACCGCTGGACCTTCCTAAGCCCCCTTCAGAGAGGCCTGGCACATGTATCGATTTTATCGGCACGCACTCAGACGGCTCTGGGCAAACAGTTGCAGGAGATCCCAGTTCGTGCTTAAAGCCTAGGGTTCGAGTTGCCTTAACCCTGAATAACGTACCCTTTTTTCGGGCTCCTTATTGGGATTTCCTTATATATGTCCTTAAAAACCAGGTTGGTTATTCAGGGTGCGAGTTACCAGTTACTTGAAGGTTTAGGGTTTGGGGTTTACGGGGTTTGACCATAGGGTTCCAGGTACGTAAGTCGTAGGTCATGAAACGCATACTAGATGGGTAGTTGTCGGAACTATAGGGTCCTTTTTTGGGTCCATATTATAGTACGGCACCTAATATTTAGGGAACCCAAACAGGGACCCTAATTTTGACAACCACCCTTTTGGCACCCACAACACTGAGGTAACTGGAGCCCTAGGGCTAAGGTGTTACGTCTCAAATCTGAATCTCAACCCCTCAAAGTCTGAAGCCTGAGGAGCCAAGTTTCAAGCGTGACTGTTTAGAGTGGAGCTCCTTGGGTTTCGGGTTTAGGACTTTAGGGTTTAGGGTTTAGGAGGATAAAGCCCCCCAAACCTCAGGCTCATAGATGAACCTTCAACTTGAATTCTTAAGTCCGCAAACGCTAAGCCCCTGACACTTCGAAAGTTTCGAGCTGAGGTCTACCTAAAGCTGAAACTTCAGTCCCGGGACCAGCCGAGGTGGGGGGTTTGAGCGCATTTCAGGGTTCTAGAAGGGTGGCTTTCACGGTGAGGGATTGTGGTGTTTAACATGGGTTTTCTTCGGCCTCTAGGTACTGTAAATTATATCCTTTGGCGCTTTACAGGGTGTTATGAGAGTGTAAATTGTATCCGCTGGTGCTTTATAGGGTCACTTATGTGTCTGTTTTGTATCGTGGAGTGGGATTCAGGGTTTAAGGTTGCCCGGACTTGGGTTGCCCGGACTTGGGGTCCTGTCTTCTGTCTGTGCTGAGTATCTTAGTACTACTTCCTTTGGTTCGCCTTTAAATAGCTAGGCTTTGGGGGGGGTTAAGGTTGGCCCTCAGAGTCTGGGCTTTACGATTTGGGATGATTGGTCGGGCCGACATGGGGAGTTTCTGAAAGTTCACCGCTTAGAAGTTAGGGAGATTGGCAGCGCAGAGGAATCCCAGACCAGCATGCTGGGTTCCGCATGGATGTTGCCACAGTTTAGGCTTCGGTGTGTTTTCTTGTGTTGTGTAACATGTGTTGCGTAGGCTCCCTGCTTAAACTCATAGGACAGAAAGCAGAAGGGCCCTCCAAAAGTCTCAATCCTAAACCCTGATTTCCGGTCCAGAAACGAAGAAAACTCAACAGAGCGGAAAGGAAAGCCTTGCCGAGGTCCCAGCGCGAGTATTCGGGTGGTGATGTCGACTCCTCAGAGAGAGCTATTGACGGACGAAAACTCCTCTAAGGTTGTAGGTACCCTCGACTTTGGGAGTGGAGAGATACAACAGAACAGTCAAAAAAAAAACAGCAGATACGTAAGATTACATATAATAAGGCAGCATAAACAACAATGTTTTAGCAGAAGGGGTCTAATTGTACTGGGCATGGTCATCGGATTTCCGGCAGCGCCCTGATAGTCCTTCTCGTGGCTAGTGTTCTTGCGGTATCCGTTTGTTTGTGTTTCAGTCTTGTTCCTGTATTCATAGACGCTTTTGGGCACTTCCTTGCCCCGGCGGCGGCGGCTGAAATTTGGGGTGACCGTCGTGGGGCGAGCTTTGGGCTATCGTCTTGGACTTTGAAGTTGAGGGCTACGGTTGGGTTTAGCCTTGCAGTTCTATATGGGAGTTTCCGAAAATAGGGGACCCTAATATAGTACCCTAAATAGTAGGATCCTTAATATAAGGACCCAAAAGAAGGTACCCTAATTTTCGGAAACTCCCATATATATATATATATATATATATATATATATATTCTATGTGCGGGTTTGAGGGCTTGAGCTGGGGAGTGTAACAAGATCCTAAGAACTCCTCATACTTATCCTTGTAACACTAAGAGTGACTCTTTGAGTAACCCGTTACCTGGCTTGGATAACCCAAAGAGGCCCCTTAAAGAGCCCTAAACCCTAAGCCCTTATCTTTAAGAATTCAGAACCCTATAAACCCCAAACTTTTTCTTGGTGGGGTTACTTGGAGGTTCATGGGTAGTTATAAGTGAGGTGCTAAGTAGGGTAACCATATTTATCACCCATGTTAGGGGACTGATAACTGCACTTATAACTAGCCATGAACCTCCAAGTGCTGGGGAGCCTAGCCGGAGACTTGGCGTTTCGAGGCCCGAAGCCCGGAGAAGCCTCCGACAGAGCCTCTCTTGGAGGTGCTCCTGGGATGCCATGCAAGGTTCAGGTTTCAGGCTTCTTAGGGTTTTAGGGGTTTAGGGGTTAAGGTTTGGGAGTGTAGGGCTTCGGATTTGGTGGTTGAGAGTTTGAAGGTTTGGTTTGAGATTGGGGTTTCGGGCATAGGCCCTGAGGGTGGTGGGTGCGGTTGGCGTGGATTCGCGTCGAAACACCTGAACCCAACACACCAGGTGAGCGGTACATGCATTGTTGTTCAGGTGCAGGTGTGTGTGTGCCAACAGCACAGCTTTAAGTCCGCTCCGATGCTTTCGTGTACTAACTAGAACTCAAAAAACTCGATGCGTTCATATGGTAGGACAAGCCTTGTTTTAAATCTGTCCCCTGTGCTTGGACACAACAATGGAGGCTTGAGACCTTATCATTCTCGAGACCTTATCATTCTCAAGACGGAACAGTGCAACTAAGCTTTGTTCAACCGAATATTTTTTCCGAAGGAACTAGCGCAAAGCCCAGAAGCATCTGGGCGATCACATTACTGCATGTTTTCTAACAAATGGCAGCCTTACCCAACAGGCTAAGTCAGCGGTGTTTGAGTGTCCTGTCGGGTAGGGACTTTGTCATTGTTAAGTTGCAGCCTCTTTTGCACTGAAATGCATGCGTCGGTTCGAATTCGAACGCGCTCTACGATGACATGAGGCTTGAGCGCTTCGTTTCGCCACATCGCATTTGGTGATATCATCAGGCATTCAAGTGGGCCGAAATCAGAAGTGTGCTGTAATTAGCCCTGAGCCTTCAAAGCCCACACCCGAAGAACTCACCAGGCTCTCGGAGGTGCTGAGGGGAGGAGAGCACCCGTCGCCGAAAGCAGTCGCAAAGCCACTTACCGGCAGGATTTAGAATTTAGAGGTTAGGATTAAGTGCTCGGGGCGTGGGTGTACGGATTTGCAAGCTCGGGATTGGAGTGTGGTCGTCGAGTCCTCAAGCTTTACATCTTTTGTAGCGATTTTTGACAGTCCAACAGCCTGTTCCGACCTTGCAAACGGGTTTTCCCAAATCCAAAGACATGTGGCACAAAGGTTCTGTTCGAATAGAAAGGGTGCATGTAGCCCTGCATGGCATTGGGGGTTCCGGTAAATGCTGGAAGATGCTGCCAGCAAAGACCTTACCTATCTGCTTATTTGCCGATCTCCCCACCAAACTGCCAAACTATCTACCTATCTGCCTATCTACCTACCTCCCGTCCCACGCTGAGAGTCACCATCATCTTGGTAACTAACCACCATCATCATCATCATCATCAGCATGTCCATCACCAACCTCATCCGTAGCAGCATCATCGGATCCATGCCTGTCGTTATCATCATCCTCAGGCCCAGTGTCAGCATCATCATCATCATCGTCATCATCATCATCATCATCATCGTACTCGTCATCGCAGTCGGCAGCACCACCATGGCGATCATCATCTTCAACATCATTGACAGCACAGACAGCAGCAGAAGCAGAAGCAGAACTAGCGTTGTCATCACCACCTTCATTAGCATCACAGTCCATCCGTTTCTGCATCAGCACCATTAAACGGAGCAGGCAAGCGTTGCAAAAGTGTCGTGACAACCAGGGCGAGGCACACAGGGATGACCAACCTCCGAACGAGCCAGGCTTCTGCACCATTCTGGCTGGAATTGGGTGGCTCGGCCGTCCGACAGGCGGGGGGAGCAGCTTCAGCCGTCTATGCATGTAGCCTCGTACTCCAACTCGTCTTCGCATGTTTTGTCCTTTTTGTTTGCGGTTTTGGCGGGAGTCCAGCGCAGCCTTGGGTCTTTTGGAATACCTTCAGAATACCGCTTCTTCCCGGATCCGCGTGTTGGAACTCCGCTGCTTGGAGCTGTCACTTCCGCTCGCAAGATGGAATGAGTGTGATCTGATTTCGGAGACCTCAAACCCCGACTGGGGAAAACAGGCACAAAGACTGTCAAAGATGCTTGGCGGAAGAGATTCACAGAACCATCACCTCGAAGGGTGTTCTGCGGAAACACCCTCTTCATTCCGCCAAGAGAGTTGTAAAATGCTTTTACGGATGGGAAGAAAGCTCACATACAGGGGCACCTGGTCTAATTAGAGGGTGGATGCTTTGTGCTTTTGAGGTATTTGTAAGAAGGTTGTAGGATTTTCGCTTTTCTTCCTTGCACTGAACATCCAACAGGCTTCTAGGGTCGTTGTTTGGTCAAGTCTAGGGGAACGCCTCCACTCACATCGACGGCAGCTTGAGGGAAACGGCACCTTCACCCCTTTGTCGATGCTTTCTAGACTTCAGAGGCACATGGTAAGCCAATCCTTCTTGATGGAGACGCCCAAGAACGACAAGTAAGGCAAGAGCATGGCGATGTTCACAAGCTCCGACATCAAAGAAGGAAACCAATCAAAGAAGAAGGGCGGCCACTCAGTCTTGTGTCCACTGTATGGATCCTCCAGACACTAAGCCGGCATTTGATAAGGGATGGCGCTTCCCTAATCATTAAGGCATAGCTAGTAGCCGAATACTGGGCCTGCTCCCAGACCAGGCTAGTGCTACTAACACTCCTACCGACCATGATAAAGTGCTACCCAAGAACCCTTTCTTTAAACCTGAAAGCCTGAAACCTGAAACCTGAATGTCCGTGTCCCCTAAAACCGCAAGCCTGACAACCCTCAGTTTCTAATCCCCGAAGCCTTGAAACCCCAAACCCTTCAACATTCTGTTGACCAGACCTTTCCCGACAACCTGCGCATTTTGGAGGCTGGAAATAGAGGAGTCGGAATCATTAACAGCGTAGTACCCTATTGCAATTGCCTAGGCCGAATGAGGCCACTATATAACAGTAATTCAGGATTCAAGATACCGGGCGTTGGCTTTTTGTTTTTTCCGGTAATAATGGAGTGTTGTGTTTGAAGCATTCAAGCGTGATTGTCGGTTGATAAAAGAGTGCATGAGCAAGTCAGCGGTGGAACTTCCTGCAAATCTAGGCCGGGTTTCGATACTTTGAGTTTCCGCACTGTGAATTCAGCAGTGCTATGAGGTTGACTTTAGGGCCGACCTCGACAAGAAGCACTTGGAGTTCAGGGGTATCTACGGCTTGACCCACTGATGGTGTAATGTTAGGGTTTCGACTGCTGTTGGTCTTGCTAAGATACGCTGGTGGCTTCAACTTAGTACTTACAGCGCTTGGCGACTTGGAGGAGTCGTGGAAGTTGTAGTGCTGTCTCGGGTGCCTTCAGACGACAGCCCTGATTAGATCAAGAAAAGGCTACGCATCAGGGTGCTGGGAGCCGGCGTGCAGATGCTGGCCTTGGATTTAGGTTTGAGGTTTAACACTTCTAAAGATAAGTATCGGCACTGGAGCTTCTGAGAAGGGCTGCGAGATGAGCAGTGCAGAAGAGATCTAGCCCAAGACGGATGAGATGAAAGCAGCCGGCAGATGCCATCCGCAAAGCTCTCTTCAATCCTGAAACAGAGGGCTTGGGATGGAAACCCAGCCCTGTAGGAGCGTTGAGCCCCAAGAGCCCTAAACCCTAAGATCCCCAAGCCCTACAAGCATCCCAAAGCCCCGAGGGCCCTAAACCCTAAGACCCCTAAACGCTGAAACCTATGAAGCATAACGTAGGGGCCTTAATACAGCAATTACCTGTACTATCTTGGCGGTTCCTTACTATAGCTACAGTATAATATACACCAAAACCTTGTTCTAGTTATTAAGGCCCCCATATTATCGAACCCTACTATAGATCCCTGAAAGACACCCTTTAAAGGAACCATTTGGACGGAGCTCTATTCTAATTACTAGGGCCCCTCTATTAAACAGCGGCCCGGTGCTTGCGAAGGGATCTTCCGATGGCCTGCTCGTCGGGCGGGCGCATCAGCAATCTCTTCACCAGGAGGCTTTTTTGGGCTCAGGGCTTCGGGCTTAGGGTCTCCGTTTAGGGTTTAAGGTCTAAATTTCGGGTGTAGGGCTGAGGGCTTCAGGATTAAGGTCGGGTTTGGTGCATCTGCTGATGTCAGGATTTAAGGTTTGGCTTCCGTGTTGCCGGAGAGCCTATACTCTCCAAAAACACATGCAAGTGTGGTCTAACATAGAAACTTAAATAATGACTACAGACTACAGACATCAAGTTTCCTATTTAACTAAAGCTTCGACAATATACCTTCAAAGACATGGTCTGCTTATGAAGAGCCCGATATTAAGCCCACGCTGTAGGTGTCGTTTTCATACTGCAGGTTTTCAGTTGAATCCGTGAGACTATCAGCTGAACTGCTCGTCGCCTGTGCCGTGAAGGTTTAGAAGTTGCAACTGCGGTGGAATTCACGAACCCTAAGCCCCATAAAACCTGAGCCCCTAAATCGTGCGTGGGTGTGGGGGTTCAGAGGCTTTTGGGCCAGGATTTAGTGAAGGGGTTCGGGGCGCAGAGGTGTAGGAAATCTCCGTGAAGTTTGGAGCTTAAGAGGGGGCAACCCAAGCAAGACCAGGCGTTCCGAAAAGAAGTGCGCGAGTACTTGAGTCAGGTTCTCAGGGGCCCGTGTCGCTTTGAGAGCGGTTTAGGCGTAAAAGGGTTCCGGGTGTGGGGTTCGGGGAGGGTTGGAGTGTGGGTCTGAGGGTTTCAAAGGGGTTGCAAAAGCTTGCAGGTGTCTGGACTGCTAGGCAGGTGAAGGGTTTGGGATCCGAATTGAGAGAAGTCGGCTTCAAGTTGGAAAGAATGATGCTGGGAGATGTAAAGAAGCACTGGCTCATGCGATTGCACAGCACCGCGAAAGCTTCATCGTATGATTCAGGACCTTGGCAGAACCCTCGACTCGAAATTTTGGGTACTTGCCCTTCCAAGCCTGAACTGCACCAGGATGTCCTTTGTCTTGCTTCGACCATGCCTGCACGGGGAAAGATCATCCAAATGACTGGTAAAACGCTTTTGCAGATTTTGTGTCCCTAGTGGTTTTGATTTTACTCATGTGGGCCCTTGCTGTTCTCGATAAGGTACCTTATTTTGGGGATCCTTATAATAAGGATCCTACTATTTAGGGTTCTATAGTTCTATGTTTTTAGCGGCTGTTGCCAGTTTCTAAAATCTTCTCCTGCGAGGTCGGAGTTTCCGTGCAGCGACATAGAGACACAGACTGCAGGACTAGTTCCCAGAGAGCCCGATACCCCTTAATTAAGGAATATAGCTTAAATCATAATATGAAGCCCTGTATAAGTTAGGCCATATTCCTTAATTAAGGGGTATTGGGCTTTCTGGATTGTTGTTCCGTTAAATGGTTGGGCCTTTTGTGGCATATGTTCAAGTGTTTGCGGGAACCCGCACCTCTAAACGGCACCCCCGAACGCACACGCCAAGCCCGAAAACCCACGCGCAGAAACCCTAAGCCCTCATAGCAACCTATATGGTAGCCATACGAAATTCCCTGAAGCGTGAAAAGATTGATGAACATTTTCGGCATCCGGGCTTCTTGGGGCCTCAAGTCTAGCCGTCTTACCCAGGGCATTGGATATGAGATTTTGCGGTTATAAGGTTAAGGGTCGAGAGCTTGGAGTTTAGGAGTTACGGCCTTCGGGTTCCGGGCTCCCTGGATTTGTTGAGTTTCGGGCTTTCGATTTTTTTACAACCTTAAACCCCAAACCCCTCAACCCATGAACCCTGAACACCTAAACCCCTACACGCCTAGACCTTAAACCCCTTTTTTGGATGCTTGGGTCTCCGACCTCGTTGTCGGCCAAGGTCGTGATCATTTCCGCATCGATCGCGACAGGGCGGGGCAGTTCAACCTCGTCGGCCGAGCTAGTGTTGAATGGGCTTACTGTCGGCCCCGAAGTAATTTCCAATATGGTTCCTTGCGGTTCCATTTTATGGATACTGTAAAGAGGCCCGAAACCCAATTCTAATGATCAAGGCGCCCGTGTAGTAGGGGGTCTTCAGGTCTGGGAAGGCATAGCACGGGGCTTTGGGCGTGCACTTGCTTTGAATGACCACACTAGGGATCTGTAGTCGAATGTGTATCCTCCTTACCACGGTAACTTGAACCGAAGTCCCGTGACGATAACACGGACTAGGATGCTGGAACCGAAACAAGACCCGTTTATGTATATGTAACTATGGCCAGCTATGTGTTTCTTTGCCACTGTCTGCCCGCAATCGATACAACGATCGATGTGGTCCAAGTTGTCCCCAAGCTTGATCCACAAAACTTGCGGTGCAGGCGAAAATATATCGCTATCTCTCATTCCCTGTCTTTCTTGCACCTAGCTACGTCCGAGACTCATCCACCCGTCGATGTGTCCACCTGTTCCCCATCATCGACCTGCCGATCTATCCCGAACCCCTGAATATGTAGCCCCCAAACAGTGAACCCCACACTCGAAACCTTTCTGCCTTGAGTCATTGACCCAACAAGGAGCAACATGTCCCCCACAGTAGACTTCTGGGTCCCATATCCACCTACGCAAATATTTCAACTCGTGGAGAGCCCAAGATCCGAAATTTTCAACCTGAGCCCAAAATCCCCATTTCTCAAAATGTCTGAGCCAGGTCGCACTCAGTGCGAATCCGATTTGGCGCATGCGACAACGACAGCTTCGCGAGCTGGAGCGAGGTCTCGGAGATCAGGGTCTAGGGTTTATGTATGAGGGTTTCTATAGGCTAAGGGGTTACGGATTTAGGGTTGAGTTTCCAAGAAAGGTTTCTATAAGAGTTCTGAGGGGTTTAGGGATTTGAATTTGGTTTTTCGAGTTTGAGTTTTAGAGCTGAGGGTTAAGGTTTTGTCGAACTTAGGATTTCTTTGGACACGTTTTTCATCTTGTCGGCTTACATTCAGTTTAGACTTTTGCGCTTGGGGTGTCAGGTTGAGGATTTTGACAACCCCCCAGCTTGCTGGCCCTAAGCTCAAGCATGGGAGAACATCACAGCGTCCAGCGGGCGGCTTGTCAAGTGAGTACTACCGCTCGGGTTCAGAATGCAGGGTTCAGGCAGGAATGTGCTTAAGGCTTAGGATTTATAGGGCTTGCGATTCAGGATACCTGCATCCCGTGGAGTACGAAGGTGTGACTACATATTAGTAACAATCAATCAGTTCATATGTACAGATATCTGTATACATGCATATATATATATATATATATATATATATGCATACATATGTAATACGCACATACATTGTGCGTATGTATATATATATATATATAACATCCCATAACATCCCTATAGAGTCCCGATATAACTATTCTATTCCAGTCTATGTAAGTACTACTAAGGACCTAAGCCGAAACCGGTATCTTTGCTTCTTGTGGTCCTTTCGGTCGAGGCTCTGAGTCTTGCTCTCTAGGTTCCCCAAGACAATAGTCAGAAGCCCTGCAACCTATGGGCTCGTTTTGCGGTTGGATGAGCCTAAGAGCTGCAACAAGGCAAAGTCGAAACTGCAGAAACCAAGTCATAGACTGCCATAGGGGAGTTTCCCAAAATAGGGGACCCTAATATAGTACCCGAAAAAGTAGGATCCTCATTATAAGGATTCCAAAACAAGGTCCCCCCCCCCCCCAATTTTCGGAACCCCCCGCTTAAACTGCTATAGTTGAACCGTTGGAGCCTTCAACCCCTGGTTTAAGGCTGTTGGCGCCCAGATTTCAGAAGCTTAGGGCTTAGGGCTTAGGGTTTAGGGTTTAGGGCTTAGGGTTTAGGGTTTAGGGCTTAGGGTTTAGGGCTTAGGGCTTAGGGTTTAGGGCTTAGGGTTTAGGGTTTAGGGCTTAGGTTTAGGGCTTAGGGTTTAGGGTTGTTAGGGCTTTAGGGTTTAGGGTTAGGGTTTAGGGCTAGGGTTTCGGGTTAGGGCTCTTAAGGGTTTAGGGTTTAGGACTTAGGGCTTAGGGTTAGGGCTTAGGGTTTAGGTTTTTGGGTTAGGGCTAGGTTTAGGGGGCGTAGGTTTAGGGCTTTGGGTTTAGGGTTGAGGGTTTTAGGGGTAGGGGTAGGGTTAGGGTTAGGGTTAGGGCTTAGGGTTAGGGTTTAGGGTTTAGAGGGTGGTAGGGTTTAGGGCTTAGGTTGCTTAGGGCTTTGGCTTGGGTTTTTTTTTTTAGGGTTTAGTTTTTTTTTAGGGTTTTTTTTTATGGCTTTTTAGGGTTTGTTTAGGGTTTAGGGGTTAGGGCTTGGTTTGGGCTAGGGCTTAGGGTTTAGGGCTTTGGGTTAGGGTTTAGGGCCTTAGGGCTTTAGGTTAGGGTTAGGGCTTAGGGTTTAGGGTTAGGTTTAGGGCTTAGGGTTAGGGTTAGGGTTTAGGGCTTTTAGGGTTTAGGGCTTATGTAGTTAGGGTTTAGGGGGCTTAGGGCTTAGGGTTTAGGGCTTAGGGTTTAGGGATTAGGGTTTTAGGGCTTTAGGGTTTAGGGTTTTAGGGCTTTTAGGGTTTAGGGCTTAGGGTTTAGGGCTGGGTTATGGGTTAGGGTTTTTAGGGTTAGGGTTAGGGTTTTAGGGCGGCTTTGGTTGGCTTAGGGTTTAGGGCTTGGGTTTAGGGCTTAGGGTTTAGGTTAGGGCTAGGCTTAGGGCTTAGGGCTTTGGGTTTAGGGTTTAGGGTTTAGGGCTTAGGGCTTAGGGCTTTAGGGTTTAGGGCTTTTAGGGCTTTAGGGGTTTATGGTTTAGGGTAGGCGGGTTTTAGGGCTTAGGGTTTTAGGCCTTAGGGTTTAGGGCTAGGGCTTCTTTTAGGGTTTAGGGTTTAGGGCTTTGGAGGTTTAGGGTTTAGGGCTGGCTTTGGGTTTGGGTTGGGTTTAGGTTTAGGGTGTTAGGGCTTAGGGTTTAGGGCTTTAGGGTTTAGGGCTTTGGGTTTAGGGTTAGGGCCTTAGGGCTTCTTTCTTGGGTTAGGGCTTAGGGCTTAGGGGGCTTAGGGCTTTAGGGTTTAGGGCTTAGGGTTTAGGGTTTAGGGTTTTAGGGTTGGGTTTAGGGTTTTAGGGTTAGGGTTAGGGTTAGGGCTTAGGGCTTAGGGTTTAGGGCTTAGGGTAGGGTTAGGGTTAGGGTTTAGGGCTTAGGGCTTAGGGTTTAGGTTTAGGGGGTTTAGGGTTTGGGTTAGGGCTTTAGGGTTAGGGTTAGGGCTTGGGTTAGGGCTTAGGGTTAGGGTTTAGGGTTAGGGTTTAGGGCTTAGGATTTGGGTTTAGGGCTTAGGGTTAGGGCTTAGGGTTTAGGGCTTTTTTTAGGGTTTAGGGTTTAGGGTTTAGGGTTAGGGTTAGGGCTTAGGTTTAGGGTAGGGTTAGGGTTGGGTTTAGGGCTTAGGGTTAGGGTTTAGGGTTAGGGTTTTGGGTTTAGGGTTAGGGCTTAGGGTTTAGGGCTTAGGGTTTAGGGCTTAGGGTTTAGGGTTAGGGCTTCGGGTTTAGGGCTTGGGTGGGGTTAGGGCTTAGGGTTTAGGGTTTAGGTTTAGGTTAGGGTTAGGGCTTATTTAGGGCTAGGTTAGGTAGGGTTTAGGTTTAGGGTTTTAGGTTTTAGGGCTTAGGGTTTTAGGGCTTAGGGCTTAGGGTTTAGGGCTTAGGGTTTAGGGCTTAGGGCTTAGGGTTTAGGGCTTAGGGTTTAGGGCTTAGGGCTTAGGGTTTAGGGTTTAGGGCTTTGGGTTTAGGGTTTAGGGTTTAGGGCTTATAGGGCTTATAGGGTTTTTTGGCATCTCTGTGCCTCAGGGCACTCTCTGGCACCAGTTAGGCTTCAGGCTCTGGGGGCAAGGACCTAAACCCCAAAGTGTGAGCTTTCTGGGGCTCAGGGCCGAAGTCTGTCATATCGTTACAAGAGGAGTGCCGTTCATCATATTATATATATATGTATATGAATATGTATGTATACACATGTATATATATATATATAATCATTTATTTATTTATTTACATACTTATATATGTATAGTATATAGATGATTGTTCATCATAGTATACTATGGTATTTTGTTGTTTACCATGGTATAGCGTATTATGGTCTAATATAGTACTGCTCTTGCTGCTTCTACTTTCCTGCAAGAAGTCCAGCGTTGGGGTTGCGAGCATCGTTAATTGAGACCTACGAAGCCTTGATGATTAGATCGTTTGTGGATACGAGTAATATCGAGTAGTTATCCTACTCCGCGGTTGACCGGGCCCTTAGAAGAACGCTGGCCAGGAATGTGCGGCTCTAAGTCGCTAGTTTGCCAAGGGAGTAAAGGTTGACATAACCGTAAATCGGCACAGCCACGATAGCGGGGTGCCTCTAGATACCATACACCGAAGATCTCAGCCCATTGAAGCCGTCCATGTGGGCGGTTGTCAAAATTATGATCCCTTTTTGGGCACCCTAAATATTAGGTGCCATACTAAAAATGAGGACCCCAACAGGGACCATAATTTTGACAACCACCCATGTATTTCAGCTTCAGTTTTCGGCTCGGGGGCCTCTCAAGCAGGTGATCCGCCGCTATCTCTCCTCCACGGCGATGAGATTTTCCTCTTCACTGGGGCATCGGACCGCCTTGCTCTGAGTGGGCATCGGGTAATCCTGGAATCCGGGTTTACAGTACATGACGGTTTATGGGTAATCAGTTTACAAGTCATGAATTGCGAAACGTTGCGGGTTCGATTCGAGGTTGGTCGAAAGTTCGGCAGTCATGGTGCGAAAAGAAAACAAGCTATTTCCGCCCCGGGAGGTGTCCAAGACACGTACATCGACACACGCGCGCACACACACAAAAGCACACAAGTCCAAACCCCAAGCCCGACAAGACCAAACCCTGAAGACCCTGCCTGCAAGCCCAAGCCACAACGACTAAAACCTCGACCCTAACGCCAAAACCCAAAGCCCCTGAACCTAAACCCTTATCACCCCGTTTAGGGTTTAGGGTTTAGGGCCCTTATCACCCCAAACCCGAAACCCATGAAAGAAGCCACGGCGCAGGACTGCACGCCGGATGGCCCGGAGAACCTTGGCGTCTTGAAGTGGTCGCGCTGGCGGTGCTTTCCTTGAGTTTTGGATTTGGGGGTTTACGGGTTTGGTATTAGGGTGTCATACATTTTGAGTTTCTGGCTTCCGGTTTAGGATTCACAGGGATCACTTTGTTAGGGTTTCGCGGTTCCGATTTTATGGTTACAATCTACGCGTCAGGTTGTAGTCTTAGAGACTAAATTTCTGTTGGAGTTGCGGGCTTAAGCCTAAATACCAGCTTAAGCAGCAAAGTTCAGTCATATCTTCGAGCTTGCACTGACTCTGAGCCCTTGATTGACGTTACACCGCACGAACCCCGAAACCCCTACATAGACCTACTAAAGCCTACATGTTTGTAGGTTGATTTTGTCTACCCTAATATGGGATTCATAGGGACCCTACAAAAAAGTAGGTTCTGGTAGGTTAAGGTAGATCCTCAACCGTAGAGGCGAAGTACTTAACGGCAGCCAGGAGATTCGTCCAAGCCGGCGACCGCGCTGCACACGTTCGGGGGCCCACCTTTGCCATAGTAGCTGGGGTTGGTTTAGGGTTTAGGATCAGGGGGTTAAGGGTTCAGGGATTTTACCATTCAAGCTCGAATACTCAGAAAATATTTCCTTATTTATGGTTCCTGAATAAAACTATACCATAATATATCCGCAAACCATTCTAGTTATGAGCGCCCTGGTATTCGGCCCTTATAGTAACCAGGAAAATACTAAAGGAATCCTGACCAAATTATCAAGGCCCCCTATTGGGGCTTACGGCCCGGGCAAGTCCCACATTATAGATTCCTGTCCTTCCGTAAGGATCTCCATAAAGAGTGCGTGCGTGCATACCTCTATATATATATATATATGTATGTATGTGTCTGTCCGTCGGTCTGTCTGTCTGTACGTATGCGAAAATGCAATGTATTTCTTCGTGTTCCAGCATGTGTATTTAAGTGGGATTCCATTCTAGTTTCCAGGAGGTTGCTAGGACTCATCGTAAGCTTGTGGTAGAAATGTTAACCCAATCCAATCAGTAAACCCTTAAACCCGGATCCAAGCTGCTGGGTTTGAGGCTGAGGGTTGGGTCTGGTCTTGTGCCAGTCGTGTTGCACTTCTTACTTCCTTGCCCCTCGAAAGGCTTCAGGTGTAAGGCTTGGAACTTCGGGCTTTGGGGTTTGAGACTTTGGGGCTCAGAACTTTCGGACATTTTTTTTCTGGGGTTTGGGGCTCTAGGGCAAGCCCGCAGCCACCCTAACATTGACTGGCAGAGGATCCAGTCGTGGAGAATGACACCATCCGATCCATGCGCAGGCCAGGGAACAACTGAACCCCCAATGCTTGGACCGTAGCCGGAAAGCAAAGCCCCCGGCACCCCGTTTACAGGGGCCTTAATGGGGTTTTGGGGCCCAGTATACTATAATTACAATAAGGAATCCCCAAAATAGTATTGGTAATTATTTACGCCCCTGGAAAATCCCGAAAACAAGACATTGAACCCAAAAGCATCTATTCCCGAAGGCCTAAACTGAGTCACACCTGCAACTTGGGGCCTTGCCACTTCATTTGTTTCTCTTTTTGTTACCGGGTTTGGTTTAGGCTTAGGGGGGTAGGGTTTAGGACATTTAGGATTTCAGTTTCTTGGGGTTTGGTGATACTGTTTCGGGCTGAAGATTTTTGTTGAGCTACTGAGCTACTTATTTTGCCAACAGGGGACCTCCCACAGCCTCACCCCCAACAACACTGCTTAGGGTCTGGGCAGGTAACCTTGGACCTTTTGTGGTATATAGGCGTGTATATATATATATATATATATATATATATATGTATGGCTTTGCCATACCTAAACTAAAAGTTTCGCCTTATGGGCTAGGGTACTCCGCCCCTATGCCCCTGAAAGCCCGAAGAGAGGAAGAGTTCGCCCCTGCTGCACCCCACCTCCCATCAACATCCCAGAAGTCATCAGCAGCCGAGATCCAAGATCCGAAAGAGTCGAAACACATCAAAGCCCCGATGCTACACCCACTTCACTCCCATCCTTACTTTCCGGGTCGGATTAAGTAGTAGAATATACCCCCCAAAAAAACTTATGTGCCAATGATTCAAGCACCTGTATTGGATGCCCCGAGCCTTGCAGTAGATCTACCCAAAAGCTCAATGCAGCTGTTTTGTTGACCGGGTTTCCTTAGTCACTTGAGGCCCTGGGTCCCTGCCCCCTCAGCGCTCAATCAGAATCACTTATCGGAAAAGTCCTAAGCACTGTTTCGCGAATTTCGAGGGAGCGGCAGTTGTTTCCGGTTAGAGGGGCCGATTCGTGGCAGATCTGAATATCAGGGTCTATGGCTTGTGGCTTACATACAGTGTCCGGAGTCGCACGAGCACTCAGGAAATGATGGAACTACTTCACAAGATGCATCACATAGATACAAAGAACAAATTCTCAGACACAGCCTAGCAGAATGCTTCACGGCCTATCCCAATATATTAAGCAGCTTTGGCACTGCGGGGCTGCACCTCTCCAGGCCTGAACTTGAACAACCCAGACACCCTAAGTTGGGCCTCGGGTTCATAAATGCGGCTCTTCGAAGGTGTTTTCTTGCATGGCTCCCGGGTTCTATTAAAGTTGTCCAGGTCCCAGAAGTCCTACAAGTGAGCCCTCGCTTCGCTTGGGATGCAAGTAACCAAAACCCAAGTTGAGCAGTTCGCTCCAATGCAAGGATCGAATCTTCAGGCGTTCAGCAGTCTCGAGCAAAGTGAACCCTTACATAGCTCCCTCTTGCATTGCAAGCAACTCCAAAACAGCAGCAAAATAGCAACAGCAGTACACCCTTGCAACAAACCCCCGTTTCGTAGCCGTACCGGAGAAGCCCTAAACCCCAAACCGTAAACCCTCAGAGCGCAACAGCCACAGCCTTAAAGCCGCTCAGAGCTCATTTACTGGAAAGGCCAAGCCAGCCATCAGAGAGGCAGCTCCCTCAGGTGACGCCTTTACCTGTAGCCGAAAAGACCTACTTTTTTGGGATTCCGTATTATGGTTTCTATATATAGTTCCCTCAAAACGTAGGTCCTTTGGGGCTACAGGTAGGGCTTGGGCTTACAGTATACGGGTAATCAAAGGACAAGCCCCAACATCGTCCACCCTGTAACTTTTCGACGCTTGCCTTTGCTTCTGGTGCGCATCGCTGAATCCGATACCCGAAACCCACCGATCTCTGTTTAGGGCTTTTACTTGCAGATCATTCACCAGAACCCCTGTGCCGGAACCCTAGAATCAAAGCCGGAGTAGTTCCCAAGGGCTCCTTGTCTTTGATATGCCCCAAGAACCTTCTAGGTAGAGCTTTGGGACATTGTATATTTTCCCTTATTGGGCTAAAGAGGATCTTATTTACTAATATTTTTCAAAGGCTTTAAAAGCCCCAAACTGTCTTGATCTCACTACCAAGGCGCCTACATGACCAGGATCCCCCCCGTTTGGTCCTCGTTCAACCCGAACTGGTCCATTTGGGACTCAGGGTTGTCGTTCTATGCCATTCTCAAAACCGAAGGTAACAATTCAATGAAGAGAAAAGAGAAAGCATAGGGATTCTGGGCTCAATAGTATCCCGGCCCGCAGCTTGAGTCTCCCAAACCTCCCAAACTTCATGTGGTATGGCTCCCGTCCGGACTGGGTTATTGCATGCATTCTTGCAGCTTGTGACGGACTATGCCTGCAGGCTTGCTCTTCATGACAGCACTTTTTGGAGCCTGGCTTTGGGTTTTAAGCATTTCGTATAAGGTTTAGGGGATCAGCCCTTGACCTCTGCAGAGAAAAGATTTCAGGCCTTGTGCTCTGATACCTTACATCTTACAACGGAAAGTGGCCTTAGCTCGAAGTCAGCCCAAACCTTCAACCCCACACCACTCTAAGCTTACTTTAAACCCGCACACCCCAAGTCCCTAGCCTTCAAACTCTAGACCCTAAGTCCTGATTCGGCAGTCAAGCTCTCCCGAAGCCAAGGGGGCGGCAACAGGGACATCCGCTCGGAGGCTCTGGGGGTTGGTAGTGGTTTAGGGTTTAGGGGCTTAGGGTCTAGGGTCTACGGCCGTTTACAGTCTAGGGTCTTTGAGGTAGTGGTTTAGAGTTTGAATTTCCCTTCCCCCTTCAGCCGCAATCCTTAAAGCCACAACAAGATCTAGAGAACACTTTTCTTTACATCAGATGTCAACATTTCTGCTGGCCTGTCGCCATTGGTTTTCAGCAGTTTTTGTCAGCCATCTGGCCTGGCCCGTCCAGATTTCCTGGATCTGTTTTTGCCACTTTGGCGGTCCGAGTTTCTGTTATTTTGGCATGCGTCGGGGCTTTGGGTTGCAACGACAAATCAGCGCCCGAAGAGCGAACAACAACCTGTGCCGATTTAACAATGTTTACAAGGTAAGCATCAGTCCCCCTTCAAAGAGAGAAAGCTTGTCATTTGAGGGTCCCAGGAGCAGCCCTAGTCACAGCTCTTTTGTATGGGGGTCGGAACAAGTGCTCACGACGTTTGTTGTGATTTTATTGCAATTATCACAACATTACTTGTTGCGCTGATTATCGCTGGTTGCTGTTAGGTTTACGAGGAATTTGTGGCTGCAACTGCCGATTCAGTTCATCATGAAAACCCCCAACCCTGAACTGTTCATTGCAAAACTGCAGTGATGGACACCTAGTTAGGCGCCGACTCGGGCAGACGCACAAAGAAGGCCGTCAACCTAACCTTAAGACCCCTAAACCCTAAACCCTAAACCCTCTTCATCGCGCATCCCCAAGCTCTCGCTTCCAGCGGAACCCCGGGTCTCCAGCTCCATGCGCTAAACGAGAAGCAGTCCAGAGTTCAACTAGGGGCTTCGGGGTTTAGGTTTCGGGTTCAGGAGTTTAGGGCTTAGGGTTTAGGGTTTAGGGTTTAGGGTTTCGGGTTCAGGAGTTTAGGGCTTAGGGTTTAGGGTTTAGGGTTTAGGGTTTCGGGTTCAGGAGTTTAGGGTTTAGGGTTTAGGGTTTAGTGTTTAGTGTTTAGGGTTTAGTGTTTAGGGTTTAGGGTTCAGGAGTTTAGGAGTTTAGGGTTTAGGAGTTTATATCCTGAATCCTGAGCCAAAGGGTCAAAAGTCTCTATTGCTTAAGGGAAAATGTCCAATAGTCGCTGGAATCCATACACCCGGAGGCTCCCTGTACGAAAAAGAGAAGAACCGCTACATGTGCCTGCCGCAGGCCTGATGTAGGAGTTTCTGGCATTAAAGAGATTATGTTTCCGGTGTATTTCGCTGGGCGCACCCCTATCACGCAGCTCTTTGAGAAGCCTTTTGACACTGAAAGCTAGAAGCCCTGACTTTCCAGTCTTTTTTGGGTTTAGGGTTTAGGGTTCTTCGAATATCCTCAAACCGTTTCGGGTTAGGGGTTCCAGGCCTGTAAATTTCGCACTACGGCTCGGGCATCTGAACATGTATGCTTAGAACTGGGACCTCGCAAGCTTGAAAGCTTCAGCCGTAAGGGTCTAAGCCACTGTCCTTCATTGGTTTAGAAATTCGGCACTTCTGAGTGGCATTTCAGCACCATGGCCCGCAAATGGTTGAAGGCAGGGTTAAGATAAAGAGTTTCTATGCATCTTGTACAGGAAGGAAACTTTAGTTTTGGTATTGGGGTTAGATTGGGTTTTGTTGGAAAAGAATTGAAATATCCGCTTCATGCGTAAGGCGTTCATCAATGAGGCGAACTTGACCGGCAGCGGTTTGGAGAAGTCCTGTTAACGCAAAAAAGGTAGAGGTGGCAGAAAAACGTCGTTGCGCATCAACTCGAACCAGAGCCACCTTTTCTCCGAAATGGCCGGGCTTACCGAAGTGTGAGTGTGACGGGGATGAGTGCACACAATCCTCCAAGGGTATAATGCGGCGGTCGGTTTAGCAGTAGGGTACCCCCCCCCCCCCCCCCCGACCAAAAAGTTGCGGTCGGTTTAGTATGGAACCGGTAGCCCCGGACAGGGGTCAGGGGTCTGAGTGGGGCTCAGGGTCTGGGTGGCTTTGATTTTTGAAGTAAATTAGAAGGGGGTTGCGGGGTCGCAGCTAGGGTCTGGGTGGCTTTGATTAATTAATTAAGACAATTAATTAAACAATTAGAGGGAATCGGGAGTCTCGGGGTTTGGGCGCCTAAGTAATTAGAAGGGTTTGGGGGGTTTTGTAGGGTTTGGTGCTTAATTAATTAATTAATTAATTAATTAATTAAGTGCTCGGGCTTAAGAGGGTTCTGTAGGTTTCGGGAGCTTTGGGGTGGTTTGCTTTGGTTTTAATTAAATAATTAGGAGGGTTTCTTGGGGGCTTCGGTTGATGTGGGGTTTGTGGGGCTTAATTAGAAGGGTTTAACAAACCCTAAACCCTAAGCCCTAAACCCTTCCCAAAGGGGGGTCGGTCCAGATTGGACCCAAAATCTAATTTTTTATACAAACTTTAGTACTGGAGAGGCCTCTTTTGAGGTAGGGTCCAATCCCCGATTCGGCGGTTCACCCTAGCAGCCCCCCTCAATAAGCAAGGCATACAGTAGCAGTACAATAGTACAATAGTACAGTAGTAGTACAGAGTCCCATTCCTGACGCCCCAATAAACGAAACATTTCTGCAAGAGATTTTCGGGCTTCAGGGCCAGGGTTTTAGGGTTGGGTGGGGGTTTGGGTGGGGGCTTCAGGTCGTGGCTGCCTTAAGATTGACCATCAGCAAACAGCACAGCCCCGCCACCAAAAAATTCTGCCAGCCAAAATAACGCATTAATTAGACCGCCCAATTTTTTGGTACCGGTCGGAATTAGCCCCCGAGCCGACGCATTAAAGGAGCCCATACTCTTAAACCGACCGGCACATTATTAAGAATAACAGTTGTTAACTAGTAATAAGAGTAATCATCTGAATAAGCAGGATTTTGCAGTATCCCGTGCCGTCCTTCAGACAAGACATGCTCCCTAATCTGAGCGTGCCTTCTGCCCTCTGCCTGGCTTCCTGTGGATATGCCAATTCTGTTCTTCCGCAGATACGGTCATGGCACGATCCTCAGTATGGTCAGGTGTCTATAACGAACTGCAAGTCGTGCAAGTGTTTGTGTTCGCGCAAGCGGACGGCAGGCAGGCAGAGGCAGGCAGGCAGAGGCAGGCAGGCAGAGGCAGGCAGGCAGAGGCAGGCAGGCAGGGAAGGCAGGAAGGCAGGAAGGCAGGCAGGCCGGCAGGCCGGCAGGTCGGCAGGCCGGCAGGCCGGCAGACAGCATGTGGCATGAGCCAAACATTCATTATTAATTAGAAATTTTGTCCATATGCGCATCTACATCCGTAAGGATGTGGATTCATGCATAAAGTCACGATGTGCAAACATGGCGGCAGTAATCACAGGCATGTGAAGGTACAGGCTTGCATAGTTTGTGGTTTCTATCTGTATATATACATATATGTATATATACACATATATGTATGCATACACATATACACACATATATATACGCACACATAATGTGTATATATATATATATATACATATACATATACACATATACATATGGTGTTGCGGATGGGCTTCACAGACGAGAGCTTCTCCACCAGACAGCTTGCTACCTCAAGTCCAGAAAGAAGATGACCCCTGAGGTTCCTCGGTGCTCTGCTCACAAAGCCTTCCTTTGTCATAGTTGGGTAACATTTTACTTCTTTATGGGTACTTAAAACCCAATAACGAGTAAAAATGTACATGTTCAATCCTATCCCCACCATGAACTAGCTTCTACTAGTAGCAATGATGAAGGCTTTAATTCTGATGAAATCCCAGATATACCCCTAAACCCACAAACCCAATAAAAAAACAAACCCTGTAAACCCCCTTTATGGATCCCCGAACCCTTATAGGTTTTTGTTATTATAGAGCTCTTATTGATCCCATTAAAAGGAACCCTAAACCCGCAAAGCCTACCCCTAAACCCTAAACCGCTACAGCTCGTAAAGCAGGTCTTTGACTGGGGAGACGACGCTCCGAAACCGCAGCGGAAGTCGCGGTCGCCCCAACGCAGCAACCCCGGCCATGGGCCAGGAGGTACGGTTGATGATATAAATCCTGCATTATCCATAATAAGGAATATACCACAATTCCCATAGTTTAGGCCCTTAAGGTAATGCAGGATTTATATCATCAACAGTATAGGGTTTTGGGTGTAGGGGTTGGGGGTTTATGGGGATTGGGATTTTGAGGCTTGGCGTTGTTCAGATGACAGAGGGTTTGAATCGTTCTGTTGCTTGAGTTGTTGAGTTTTTCAAATGACACACCTCGTCAGAAATTTTCTTTTATCTTTTGCTTGAGTTGTTTAGGTTGAAACAAAACAGACCAGTTAAGATGTCAGAGAGTTCACTTATTTGTGACATTCCAATTTCTGCTCCCACAAGTTGCCACTTCTTCTTTGCTGTCGGAGCCGCGGTGTAGTGACTCAAGCCCCTGCTCAAAGCTGCTGCGATATTTGCCTGGGCCCCATGAAGACCCAGCAGCTGAGACTAAACGAATAATTGATCGCCTTCGAACCGTTTGTTTGCTTGACAATGATGATGGTGGGCTGGGGTTGGGGTGGGATGGGGGGAAAGAGGGGGGTGGGGTGAAGGTGGCGCGGGTGATTAAGAGGAGGAGGACAAGAATGAATCTGGCATGTATCGGAACGGTCTGTCATCTAATGGGCTTTACTGTAATGAAATGCAGTGCATGCAGGCACGGCTGGGCGGAGGGAGGGAGAGACTGATAGCTTGTGGGCGTTCAACGCATCATGTCGTTCTTGCAACTCAGTGCCGCCAACTTTGCCGGGAGCTCCCTGCCGCCCTCCCTCTGCAGTTTGGGAGTTTCAGAACATAAGAAGCCCCAAATAATACAGAACTCTAACTAGTAGAAGCCTGATAAACAAGAGCACCTCTAACCCGGAGAAGCCCTAAGCCCTGTAAACCCTGAGCCCAAAATCCTAAAGCCTAACTCTAAACCCTGAGCCCCAAAACCGAAGCCCGAAAAGCCTTAAACCCTAGACCCAAAGCCCCTAAACCCCTTAACCCCAAAACCCTATAAACCCTATAGACCCCTTATAGAACCCGTATAAACCCTAAACCCCAAGCCCTGAGCCCGAGTCCCCTATCGGAGTTCTTGGGCTCTCGAAATCGCCGCTGCGAGGTGTCAGCTTCAAGACAGAGCAGGCGGGGTTAGAGCTTAGAGGGATTTTGGGGTTTAGGGCTTAGGGTTTAGGGGTTTGGGGTTTAGGGATTAGGATTTTAGAGCTTCCTTAAGCTACCAAAACCTACTTTTTTTGTAGGGCCCCTTTAAATTCTATATTAAGGTTTATAATAAGAACCTACAGAAAAGTAGGGTTTGGTAGGCTAAGGTTAGAGTTTTGGGCTTTAGGGATTTAGGGTTTACGGTTGTGGGGGTTTAGAGTTTAGGGTTTTGGGATGTAGAGCTTGGGGATTTCGGGATTTGGAACGCACAGGTTTGGGGGCGATATACGGGTTTACCATTTTGCCGCTTGGGTTGAGACCTGAGGTTTTCAGAGCTGCGGCTTACAGTTGGGTTTTGAGAGTTGAGAGTTGCCGGTGTAGGAGTTCTAAACCGCGAGGCATAAAATCCCTACCTTAATCGAATTTGTTGGGCAACTGAGCTCCAACAGAATAGTTCAGTGAGCAGCGCTGAATATCAGTGAAAACTTGACTCTGAAGGTATAATACAGGGTCCTAGATAGTTACCAATACTATTTTGGGGGTTCCTTCTTATAATGACAATATAATGGGCCCCAAAACCCCATTCTAATTATTAAGGCCCCTATATTGAATCCTGTAGGGTCCTTCAGGCTGTGGATTCTGGGCTTGGTGTTGTATTATGTCCCTGTTTTCAAGCTTCTATTTCCTCAAGCCAGTCTGAATGTCCATGGTTTTAGGCTCTATGGGGCTCAGTTCTCAAGCCTTCACTCTGCCGGAGTGCTGAGGACATAGAGGTTTTTATAAAAACCCATAGAGGTTTTTATAAAACATCTTAGTGCTTGTTGTGCTGATTGCCGTTGTTGCTGCTGCTTCTTCTGTCGATGATGCTGTTGCGCAACTGCGGCGGTCTTTGTCATTGAGCATGCTTCATCAAACCAATGAAACACCGCGGCATCGCTTTGGTATATCAACATCCCCCAAGTTTGAAAACATCGCGCGACTCACTTTCATAGGAGGCCAAAAGGGGTTTTA